AATATTAGTGATATTATGATAAACATTTCATTACTTTATAATTTTCTCATATCTTTCACAAGAATTGAGATAATTGAGCTGAACGTTGACGTATTTGGTGGGTTTCTATTAGAGCAAATACGGTATGTAACGCCCTCTTATCCTAGAAAAGATTATCTAGGGGTTCTCTTCAAAGAATTCTAAAGATAACAATCTAATACCTGAAACCCACAATTTCCTTATTTAACCGCAGATGGTCTAATTACCTTATTCATTACTGTAACCGTTGCAAAATAATTTGCTTTTCTGGTCCAAAAACCCCAAATTAGAGCAGCCCCTTAGGCTAAGCCGCTCCATGTGCTAGGCATTTAATGGGTTGTAGGAAAATCCTATTCAAATCCTCCACACAGGCGCGCGACTTTATGATCCGTTTTTCAATTTCATTTTTGAATTGAGAGAGACCCGACGAGAGCTGTGACCAGCTGGCTTACTGTAATCTTGCATTTTTAAACACATTGTTGTAGTCTTGTATTAGTGTTTTGACCTGTACGTTGAGAAAAAAAAACCCGGGTTTTCTCGACTTTCAGTCTAGGTTAGTTGTTTTTGATGCAAAAATTGCAAATTTCAGAAATCAAAATTAGGAAATGAAAATGGTACTTTACCTTAGAATTTAGTTTAATTTTTCAGCTAGTAACGTTAGCCTCTAATAAAAGGGCCCCACACTGCCAAATTTGAGCTCATTTACCTCAATTCCTGTAACAGATATCAAAAATTTGTCAACTGTTAAAATGTTTGTGGCTTTATATAAAATAATTGCAGAAATTGAGAATAATTAGCTCAAAGTTTGAAGTTAGGGGCACTTCTATTACAGGGTATGCTGTATTTGCCGATTTCCAAAAGGCACCACTATTTTCCAGTTTCTGTACTGAAAACATAAAAAAGAATAACCCTGTCAGTTTATGTTTTCAGTAGAAAACGGGCCGAAAATTGGCGTCCTGTAGGAAATTTGAAATACCGTAAAACCTCTAATAGAACGACACCCGGATCGTCCACTTTGAGCCTATATATCTCATTTACTGTGAAAGATATCAAAAAGTGCCTGACTAGTAAAATGTTGCTGATATCCTGATAAACATTTTACTAGTTAACCACTTTTTGATATCTTTCAAAAGAAGTGAGATATATAGGCTCAAAGTGGACGATCCGGGTGTCGCTCTATTAGAGGTTTTACGGTAGCTGAAAAACTAGGAGTTTTCAACATTCTGTAAATTCAAAGATTCCAATCTAGATCTGTTTTACATCTTTCAAAACTTTCAAAATGATTAGAATCTAGATAGCTGAGTCGCAGCCTTCTGAAAATGACCGGAAGTAAACTTATCAAAATACGTTTTTGAATATTTTTAATGCCTATTCTATGTTTTCTGCCAAAAAATTTGAATAATCATCGGCAAGGTCCTCTCTAGATGACTCAAAAACGTGTGTATGTTACAACAACCTGTCAGTGAGTCAGTTGGTTGAGACACGCCGCCCCCGATGTTTTGTGTACAGTTCCATTGTAGGAAATGCTCGTGGAGAGAAGGGCTCTTCGTACAGTACTGGCTCTCGGCGAGTCGACCAAAACCTCTTTTCTCTCTCCCTCTCTCTCTTTCTTGATTTCCTACGTAGAGAGAGGCTTCACTCAAACCGTTTTGTTTGATGTTTGTCCTATATGTGCGTAGAGTTGTATTTGCGTGTGCCTGTGTGTATTTTCTCTCAAAATTTGAATTGAATTTGTGACTATGAGACTCGGTTTTTCGCCCTATCCATGTTTTTTTTTTCAGTAACCCCATGTTTTTGCCCATTGTTCACTTGTCCCAAACCCCCGGAGCTTTTCGTGCTCCGCAACCAATTTGTTCACTATCTCTTCGGTCCGATCTCTGCGTCTCAAAACCCAGTTTACTCTATTTTTTTTCTTCTGTGCTCCAGTAACCCATCGATTTTGAAGCTCTTTCTCTCTCTCTGTCACACCAACTGCTGCTCCCTATTTTTCCAAAAACCCCTCCCCTCCCTTGTTTAACACGTTGACCCCTGTCTCCCGCCGTCCCAACAACACATAGCTTCTTCTTCTTCTTCCTTCATGCTTCTATCGTTTCTTCTTTTTCTTCTTCATGTTGCTTTTGAGCCGGTCTGAAGCTTAGAAATTGAGAAGATAGAGCACAAGAACGGGAGTTGTAGAGATGAAAAATTGAGGAAAAAAGAAGAAGACAAAAAGGCATGAGACGGACCGGCTAAGGAGGCGAGAAGCACAAAACGAAATATATCAAAAAAGATGAGGAGAAGGGACAAGGTCACTGAAAAGCAGGGCAAGGATGATGAAACTACTGTAGATTTCAGAAAAAAGGGGAGGGAGGGGTCCAGAACAAAGCCGTTGGACACAAAAACATCGTTTTTGAGCTCTGGTGACATAGAAGAAAAATGGAAAAAGCTACTACACACGGAACGCCACCGAATGAGAAAAAATATATATAACGAAGAATTTTGACGACGACAACGACAAGAAAGGAAACCGACGCTGTTGTTTTTTTTTTGCTCGCTCTGTGTCGTCGCATCAACAAACCCCCTATTGTACATAAGTACATTCACAACTCATTATTTTCAGTTTGAAAAAAAAAGAAAAATCGATAATTTGTAAAAACTACTGAACAAAAGCAAAAACTTGGAAAAACAAACTTGAAAAAGCGAACGAACACGCCAAACATTTTTTGTTTTTCCATTCTCCTGTTTTGTTATTCTCCTCCTCCGCGCTCACTTCTATTTTTACCTAGACGGCGCCGTTCTATTCTTTCACAAGGGTATAATTTGAGCTTCAAACTATTGCAAAATGACCTCCAGACGCTCTAATAGTCTTTTTAGAGTCTTTAGGCGTCGAATTATTATCCGAACCTCTTTAGATAACTGCCCAATTGCTGATTTTCTTACTTTTTTCCAAGTCCCACCGAAAGCAGCTTCATGCTAACTGTGTCTGTGTGTGGGACCCGTTGAATTGTAAATGAACAGGCGCCCTCTCTTTCTCTCAAGAGTCGTGTCTTTTTCTTCACTCCTATATTTTTAGTGTAATCCATGGAAGCCCTCCGGTGTCTCCGTGTCTCGCCCCAGGGGTGTACGTATCTGTGTGTGAGGTAGAGGGATGAGCTTTGTAATATCACACACTCTCGTGGTTCGTCACCTAATTTTTTTTATACTTTGAAACCTTCAATAAAAGAGCGTTTAACTTTGAGCCAATTTATCTTGGTCCATGTGAGAAATTTCAAAAAATGATCAATTAACGTAATGCTCTTCACGGATTAAATGAAATTATGTAAGTTAGACATTTTTGATAGCTTACATAGGAACCGAAATAAATTGGATCATATTTAAAATAAGTAGTTACTCTTCTGTAATTACTCTTTCCGTATATTTTTTGCTTTTTTTCAATTTTTTAGTGAATTCGCCGATTTTTTAAATCATTTTTATTTCAAGTCATTTTTGTCCGATTTTACTTTGATAAAACTATGAAAATCGTCGAAAAATTGATTGTCATAGCTAAGAAACGCTTTTAAAATACGAAAATCATTGGAAAAACTAAGAAAATTATAGAAAAATTTTACGGTAGTTCCTTCTTGCTCCTTTAAGAAAAATTTAATTTATTTTTATATTTTCTCAATTTTTCGGTGATTCTTTACTTGACGGAAATTAAAAAAAAAGAATTGGAGTGGTGAAAATCATTTTAAAAATCGTTAGAAAAATTGAGAAAGTGGGAAAATGATATTTAAATAGGCTCAAAGAATAAGGATGTTGGTTTTTGCGCCTTTCAAAAAATTTACACAGTTATCTGCTCCTAACCTAGACAGCAATAAGAAAACCAGCCTGAAATATGTCAAAATTTTTCGAAACAATCTTTAAATCATAAAAAATTATCTGTCTCTCTTTTCCCTCTCTCTTTCTTCTGGTACTGTACGATCCATTTCCGCCCCGCATGTCTTGTCTCTTTCTACACGCCGCTATAAAACAGGTTATGCAAAATCGGTTTTTTTCTCTCTCGCTTCCCTGCCATCAATCGCTTTCGATATTTTCTTCACCTCTGGGTTATAATATTTGTGTCTTTCTCTTTCTTTCTCTACCTATCTCTCTCTTGATCGTATACTGTTTCCTTTTCTCGGATAGTCTCGGACTATTATTGATTCATATATCAGAAGTCTGTGTGTGTGTGTTCCGCATGATTTTTTCCTTCCTCCTCTACTCCTACTGTTTGATTTTCACTGTTTTTTTTCCCGATCCTGTCTTTATACCAGCTACGAAAGGAGTTTTTGTCTTCCTGTTCTCGCTAGCCAGCACGCTCCTGTACTGTCCAAGGATTTTTCGATGACTTACAAAACGAACATCATCCGCAAAGACCAGCCAGTAGGCTATTGATTGATCTCCGTGAGGCGCGAAAATACTGTGTCGCTATTCACTTGTATTCGTCTCGACGGAGGGGGAGCGTCCTAGATGTGACGTCTTCTTTTTCTTCTTCTTCTTATTCTTCTCCTCGGATCCAGTCAGAGGGTTCTATAGTGAAAGTTTCTGGCTTTACGGTTCTCTTTCTCCGATGTCTCTTTCATTTTGAGGATGTTTTCAACACTCTGTTCATCTCCTAATTATCTCTCTCCTCTTCTTCTTCACGGTTGTCCATTTTTTAACATGTTTTGAAGCAGCTAGTTCCGAAAGAATCCAGGTCATAACACGGAGACAATCCAAACAAATAATTTTTGAATCGTCATCTCGTACGTGTACTACGTACGTACCTTACGTCGTGTTATCAATAAAAACGTGACTGAGTGATAAGACCGATTGATTTTACGGCTGCTCTCAATAACAAAGTCCTTAAGAGCATTGTTCTACTCTCCTACTTTTTAGGTAATATAGTACTATCTTATCATTATCTTCTTTGCCGTGTTTCCTGTTCTCTTCCTATCGTACCTTACCAAACATTCAAATATTTTCGTTCTCTATCAGACGGTAGTATGCCACGCCGAAAAGCAACCGATGGTCCTGCCCAGCCTAAGCCTCCTAGATCCAGAAGGAAGAAGGTGGTTCCTGAGGAGCCCAAACCAGATGCCTTCGATCCTATGACCAACTATGGAATGGAGGGAATGGACCCAAACATGTATGGTCATCATCCAGAGTATGGATATAGTGGCTATGGACACCCACCGCCATTTCCAGGGCCTGAAAGTTCAAATAGTCATTATGGAGTCCCTCCAGGACCACCTGGGAATCAAATGTTAGTGAAAAACGATAAAGAAAAAGAGAGAGTCATTTGTCATTGGAAAATAATAAAATCACGAAATTTCGAAATTTAAATATAATGTTTTTCAGGATGAGAGGCCAGGCAACGCTACCTCAACAAATTGGAAACGGTGTCAGCCCACTGGAATTCAGGATACACGACATGAATAGGAGGCTTTACATTTTTAGCACCACCGGAGTTGCAGAAAGTGATCAGCAACAATGGTGGGATGCGTTTTCCCATGAATTTTTCGATGATGAATGCAAATTGTGGTTTGTGATAGGATCTGAATCAACACCATTCCATGAGAGGGAACGATACAGTAAGAATATCCCAGAAATTGATTTATTTTAGTTTATAATTCTATTTAGTTGTCACCCGGCAGTATATTCCGAAATTCTTCCGTTCAATTTTCGACAGTGGGATGAAAGAGTTGCAATACGTGTTACGTGGAGCATCTCGGGAGTGTACACTGGCTAACGGTCATCCAGCCTATGAGAATGAGAGTGTCTTACAAATCACAAAATACGATCAGACTAGTCATGTAGAGATTAACACTGAGGGAAAGTTATACGTGGAGTTCACACCGTTTGATGAGGTGATGAATTATCGGATAAAAGCGTGGACATTGGAATTGAGGAGGTCAGATGAGTACAGCTACAATCCAGTTACCAAGGTAGGAAGAGCTATTAGGCAGAGATGTGGGGAATGGGATTTAGAATTCTATAAATTTGGAGCACTTTCGGAACGCAATTCTGGTCGGAATACAGTGTTTCCTCGAACAGAAACCCACCCAAACTGTCAACTGTGGGTTTAATTATCTCAATTCCTCTGAAAGATATTAAACATTTGTCAGCTGATAAATTATGTATCATGATGTCACCAATATTTTATCTGTTGACAAATTTTATATATCATTCATAGGGTTTGAGATAATCAAGCTCAAAGTTGAAGGCTTGGGTGGGCCTCTATTAGACACGAAATACGGTATTTACGAATTTTTTAAATACGATTTTTTTTTGATTTTTGTGCTATGTTATGTCAAAGGCCCACAAAATTATGCATTGCTGAGCCTCGAGCGTAATTATTTCAAATTATTTTGCGTTTTCGAAATCTATCTTTTGCACTTTTGTGATTGGAAAATGGTAATTAGGAATTCCGAGACTTTTCCGAAATTTAACAATTCAGAAATCGGTATGTCTCGAATTTTCAGAATGTTCAAAACGGACTATTACTAAATCCAAACTTTTGAAAAAAAAGTGTATTCCGAAATTCCTAAATTACGAATTTTGTTATTTCGACACTACAAAAACATCCATTTCGAACACTTCTGAAATTCAGGCACTTTGTTAAATTGCACATGAACCTAGTTCTTTTTTCAGGAGTTCCGTCTAGAAACACCAACTGCTGAACAAGAAAACCAACCACGTATGGGCTTCTTCAAACCAACACTCAACCTAATGACAATGCTCAAAGTGCTCGAACCAATGCAGTCGTTCATGAGCACTGCCAAATCCTCACCGGTGAGTCTTGAATCCCTTTACTCATCTTCTCTTCCTCCCTGCTCATTAGTGCATTTCACACGTCGAAAGCTTTCTTGATTGGCTTCATTGAAATGCGTTCATGTATAGCTTCTATATGCTAGTCCTGCTTTTGAGTTTACGTTTTTCTCCCACTACATTTTTCGATATCCGACGTGCGCTCAATTCTCTAATGAGCAGTAACATGTGATTTTGCTCCAAATACTAGTTTTTATCAATAATTTCATTTTTCAATCAAATTGATTTTTTCAGCAACTCTCACCCCGAGAAATTATGAAACGAGTGATGTTTCAACAAGAATGCAATCGCTACCAACGTCATCAACAGCTTCAGCATATGAGTAAGTGTTTTTATTCTAATTTCAAAATTCATATTTATATTATTTTAGGCCAACAACAACAGCAAATCATGCAAATGCCGCCACCAGAGCCAGAAAAACCAAAGCCAACGAGAAAGCGGCAAAGAAAGCCTGCAGCAAATCCACGTGGCAGTAAAAAAGCAACTGCTGCAGCACAAGCGGCCGCAGCACAAGCAGCTGCTGCTTCAAATGGTGTGCCACCAGCAATTCCAAATGCAGCACCAGCAAACAATCCACCGTTTTCACAGAATCCCATGAATCCTCAGGTAATTTTGTTTTCTCCTTTTTTTAGAGTTTTAGATTGTGTAAGAAGCTAATGTCACCTCACAATAGCGGCCCATAAAATACAGAGAAACTTTTTTACAGCGGATTTTTGGCCATTTTTAACATTTTCAGAAGCCTAAAGCTTGATTGACAAGTTTCAAACCGCTTTGAAAATTTGAAAGGGTATAAAACATACCTAGTTTGAAAACTTTCCATTCACAAGATTTCTGAAAAGTATCTCGTTGTTCAGCTAATTGCTCATTTCTAGAAGAAACTCCTGTCTGTACAGAAACAGGCCAAAAAAGAATGTTTTTCAGAAATCGGCTGATAGCTGAAAAAACAAGATTTTTAGAAAAATACTGTGAATTCGAATTTCCAGACCTAGGTCTGTTTCACACCCTCCAGAACTCCCAATTTGAACTTGACAGCCGAGCTGCAGACTCACTTCTAACATTTTCTATGTTTTTTCACTCCTATTTTTTCCTTTTCTAGAATTTTTTGTCTGCTGTGTATATATTTTGATTAAGAGTAGTTTGATCAATCCACCCCCGAAAACACGCATATTCATCAATCTAATTTTCCTTGGGTTGTTATTGCGTTTTGGAATAAGCCTCAATTTGTAGTAGTCGTATGCCTACCAATCCCCCTAGTAACCATTCACTCTTGATTTCTGGTGACATTTTTCTGGCTCTCTTTTGGCTTTTGTTAAAGTATTTTAACTTGTTTTTTTCAGTTCTCACAAATGAGTTATCCGGATGTCATGGTGGTCGGTGAGCCATCGATGATGGGAAGCGATTTTGGAGAGGGCGACGAGCGGACCATTTCCCGTGTGGAGAACACGCAATACGATCCGAACGCGATGCAAATGCAATCTCTGGGTCAGGCGCCAACCTCTTCGATGAATGGACGTAATATGGCTATGCCACCGCCAGCCATGCCGCCACCACAGCACCATCCAGGAAGGCCTCCACCGGGACCACCGCAACACATGCCACCGCATTCTATGGGATCCCAAATGCCAACATCAATGCATAACCCGATGCACATGCCACCCGGACCCATGCCAAGTCATGGAGGAATGCATTCAATGCCAAGTTCGATGGCAAATCCGATGCCTCCACCACAAATGCCACCGCAAACCATGTCGAATCAGATGCCGAGAAACCCAATGCCTCCACCAATGGCAATGCCACCACCGCAACACGTGATGCCTGGTCAGATGCCTGGATCTATGCCGAACATGATGGGTGGTGGAATTCCACCAATGTCCATGTCTAGTCAGATGCCGAATCCAATGCAGAGTCAGATGCCTGGAGGAATGCCGATGAGTCAAATGCCACCACCAAGTTATACGTACGGAGGCCCACCATCACAATGGCCGCCACCAGCCAACTCTGCTATGATTACCGGATAATTTGTTGAAGGTACATTTCTATTCTATAGAGATTTCAAATTTTCTAAATTTTCAGAAACCATCTCTCCTCCTATCCGAGTGTACGCTGATACAACGAAAAACATGACAAATCATCCAATTTCATGTACCTAAACCTTTGTCAAAAAACTTTTACAAGCAAATACAGAATTTTCACTTTTCTTCACTTGTTTAGCTTTTTTCCCGATTTTTAATCCTAAAAATTATGCTTCTCTCCCTTCTTGGCACATTTGATCATACCACAAAAATTTAGTCAAAAATGCAAAACTTATTATTGTGATTATTTCTACTTCCTCAAAATGCCTCTTTACTGAAAACGCGACAATCAAAACACGCCTTGATTTTAATCCCTACCCCATCCTGTAAACCCATTTCTTCTCAATTTCGATTGCTGAAGATCTCAAGAGAACATTATTCGTTTTTTTTTCTATATTCAAACCGCCGCTTCATCGCACAGTCTCCTATTTTAGACTATTCTACTCTTGATGACCTTTGAACATTTTATCTTTTGGAATAAAATTCTATGATTCACTAAACTATGAGTTGTTGTTTTTTGTTTAATTTCAGATTTTTTTTTCAAAAAAGTAGTGGTCTTTCAGAAACCGGTTTATAATTCAAAAACTAGAAATTTTCTTAAAAATCTGTGAATGCATAGTTTTTAGTCTAGGACTATTTCAAATCTTCAGAAAATTTCAAAATTATCGTAAACTTGACAGCCGAGCTTCAAACATCTGAATACGGCCAAAATGGCCAAAAATCAACGGAAAAATTTTGAAGCAAATTGAGGAATTTTTTTTCAGTATTTCAAAATTCATTATTTTGCAATGAAAAAATTGAAAGTATGTTATAATTCTTGTCCGTCCGCAATGCACCTCGTTAACGAAAAATTTATTTGAATGCGCGTTGTTTTTCCAGCAGCAAAGTGGTCATAATTTACCGTTGAATTTTCTTAAAAATCGTATGTATGCGCTTTTACAGTTTTGAGATGTTTTGAAAACGATAATTTTTACCCTAATATTCTCGATCTTCTACAATTTTCATAGCTGTTTGGTTGATTTTTCTCGTTATCCTTTTTTGCGGTTTTCATTGTAAAATAATTTTAACAAATTGAACAAAATAGCCTAAACATGATTACCGTATTTCATCTAATCCTCCTTTTGTTCACCTAAGAAATGTCCGAAATTCACCAAAATCAACAATCCGTAGGCACTATGTTAGATGCCCCAAACCGCCAACTTTGCGCTCAATTCTCGCTTTCTGGGAAAGATATAAAAAATTTGTCAACTGATAAAATATTGGTGATATTATGTTGAATAGTTGATCGGTTGGAAAAGTTTTGATATTTCTTCACAAGAATCAAGATAATTAAGCTTACAATTGACGGTTCGGGTAGGCTTCTATTAGAGGAAATACGATTTATTTTGGCCGAAAGGTTCATGGCGGCTGTCCGAATCGAATAAAATATTTTTCTGTACATAAATGACTAAAACTCATGTTTATCCTAGAATTCAATTTTTTGAAATAATAGATGTAATTCAAAAAAATATCCATTCCCAATTTTTTTTGTATCTGACAAATAATTTATTTACAAATAATCTGAATAAAAATATCGAGATCATTTCAATTTGAAACACAAATGCAGTTCTTCTTTTTCAAATATTAAGATTAAAATGATTATTACAACCGCTCTCATACGATGTCACCGTCTTCGGACTCATTGGTGGATCACTCGAGTTAGACAACGTCCGTGATGTTTTTCTCAAAAGAAGTCGTATATATTTTTTGAGTCGATTTGTGAACGCTATGAAGACGAATGCGTTTACTGATGCGGAAATCATACTCAACACGTCAGAGAGGTGCGAATGGTAGTAGTCTTTTCTGAAAAAAATATGAATTCTTTCTTATTTTTTTTCTCTGAGGGACTTTTTTACCTTGTTGGACACTCCCTTCTCACTAGTAACTGCCATTTTCTACCCACTGCAAACAGTTTAAGTGAGTGAAAACACAAGTACAATAGGATTATGGCAACAATTAAGAATGTGGCTCGAAGCTCTTGTTTCTGTCGGATTAGCTCGGCCTTTTTTGGGAAGCAACCTGCTAATGGATGTCTGCAAAAAGGCCAGAAGATGAAGATGTCTAATTAAAAATTCTTCACACATACGTTACGTTGGTCTGTTTTGGATGATCGAACGCCAAGTGTTGATAGGTGTTGTGGCGACTTTTATAGATTTCGTAAAGAGTTAGCAGCGAGAAAATGCACATCCATAGGAAAGGGACGATGTTGAAAAACAGTGGATCCAAAATTGAATGATATACAAATCGATAAGTGGAGAGTATCTGGAAAAGTTAGGTTGTTTGAACTTCGACCCGAACTATGCCGATTTCTGAGAAAGGTTCTCAAAGAAAAATTTCACAAAAAAATTTTGGAAAAATTGCCAGTTCGTAACTTTTAAATATCTCTGATAGAAATCAAAGTACAGTATCTAATAATAAGATATACGACTCCGTATTTTTCAGTTCATTTTCAACAGTTCGACTATTTTTGGAGTCTAGAGTTTGGCCGTAAAGTTCACAGTCATTTTGAAAATTTTGGTGGGTGTAAAACATGCCTTAATGGATAATTTTGCATTCACAGATTTTTTAAAAACTCCTAATTTGTCAGCTGTTCGTCGATTTCTAAAATACATTTATTTTTTGTCCAGTGTTTGTACTGAAAACGTATAAAAATCTTTCAGAAGTGTCTTTCAGAAATGTGCAAATAGCTGAAACACTAGGACTTTTTAAAAATTCTGTGAATGCCAAGTTGTTAATCTAGGTCTGTTCAAACTCTTCAAAATTCTCAAAGTGATGGGAAACTTGAGAGCCGAGCTTCGGACTGCTGGAAACAGTTAAAATGGCCGAAAATTAACTGAAAAATACATTAATCTGTAGCTCATTGACCTGTATTTTATTTCTGAAAGAAACTCACATCAAGATGCCGTAAACACTCTAATAGAATGTCACCCGAATTGTCAAAATTGAGCCCATGTATCTCATTTTCTGTGAGAGATATCAAAAAATGGCTCAAAAATCAAATTGTGCTGATAACATGATAAACATTTTATAAGTTGACAACTTTTTGATATCTTTCAAAAGAAATGAGATATGTAGGCTCAAAGTGGACGATCCGGGTGGCGTTCCATCAGTGTGTTTACGGTAAGTAGGATTTTCCTATTATTGATTTTCCTGTTTTGAATTTCAGTAGCGTGAAATCCACTAACCTCTGTAGTTGCGATCCGTTTATTAATTCGAAGTTGTGGATACGACCGAACTTCCAACTCCAAAAGAAAAATCGGTAGACGGAAGATAACTACCATACAGAACATGACAATTAACATGGTCCTAGCTCTGCTGACAGTATCCTGTAGACGAGCAATCATCGGGCGCGAAATCTGAAATTTTAAAAATTAATCAATTTTGGGTATTTGGGTGCTACCTTCCAATATCGATGCGCAGACAAGGTTGCAATGGTCCAGACGTGTAAAGTGTGTATCGTGATTTCAACTCTGGAAATTTAAAATTTTCAGATTCAGCGTTTAGCTTTTCAAGGATACCTTGGCATTGTGTATTTCAGAAATCGTCTTTCTAACATGCATGCACTGTAAAACGTGTGATTCTTCATATGGTGTTGATCACAGATTTGTGGGAAGAACTCGGCTGCTAACGTTGTTGTGAGCATGACATGGTCCAGCAACAGCAGCGCCTTCAGATAAACAAACACTCCGGATGTGATCTTTGGAGGACGATATAGGGATACCTAGAAAATGCTTATTTTTTTGTTTCATTGACCCTCTGGCGTTGCGTGACAAGCTCTCGATGGCATCGTTCCGAACAGTGCCAGGCGGCAATTGTTTCAAGAGATTGGAAGGGATTGAATTTCGACACTTTTGGACATGACTTACCATGGCACACGCGTTGCAAAAAATTCCAATGAGCGCTATTGGAAGTAGCAGTAGCAGATTCAGATTGCGAAGTTGGAAATAGAGTTCGTGGTCGTGGATTCGAGGTTCGTGGTAGCACACCATGGAGTGGCTCGGGAAGAAGAGACCGTAGTTGTCACTCATTGCTCACATCAGGAGGGGAAGTACTGAAAATAAACGTTTTGAGAAGTTTTGAAAAGATGGAGGTCTCATTCTGGAATAAAAAGTTTTTAAAAGTTCTGGAGATAAAGAAAATCAGCTTATATGGGATTACCATAAATGCTGTCGTAGAAGCCTACCCACACCGTCAATTTTAAACTTAATTATTTCGATTTCCGTGGAAAATATAAAGAATCGGTTGATCATCTGATGTTTGTTTGTCATAATATCACTTATGTTTCATTGTTGGAAAATTTGTTTGATATATTTCAAAAAAATCGAAATAATTAAACTTAAAGTTGAAGTTTTGAGTGGGCTTCTAATAGAGCAAATGAGGAAATATATATCGTTGCAACAAGATTAACAGCTGACAACGTCAAAATCTAAAAAATCAGAAGCTCAAACCAGATGACGACTACGGAAAATTCAAACTGTGGTAACCAGAAAAAAATTAAAAACTACTTTTTTCCTAATTTCGAAATTTTAAAAATAACTTTCGGTAAGCCTTTCAACGGTCTTACATCCCAAAAAATAACATTTGCTTCAGTGTCAGTGTCATTTTTCACAAACAAACGTTTTTTACAATTTATGAACATAGTGTAAGCATTTTACTTGAATACCTTCAAACGTCAGCTTTAGCCAATTTATTTCAGTTTCGAACGAGGATATCAAAAACAAATAAATTGAAAAATGTTTATCAGTAAAATCATATCAGTAAAATTTTCTTAGTTGACACATGTTTCATATTGTCTACAGAATTAGAAATAAATTGGCTCAAATTTTGAAGTCAAGTAATGTGTTTACGGATACCTGAGAAACTACCAAAAAACAAAAAAAATACATGAAAAATCGAAAATTTGAGGATTATGAACAGAACTTCTTCAACTGAAAGTTCTAAAACTTTCAAATCCGACAAGCACACTGTTTGGATTCAATTCATTCCGTTATTTTCTCTACATGCCCCCCCCCTCTATCCATCCCATATCTGTGTCATGTTTGTTTTACAATGATGTATTTCACAGAGGAAGAAAAAAAAATGAGACCAGCTTTTTTAGAAATGACGGAACGGTTTTTCGAAAACTTTTTGAAAACGTATGCATCATGAAAATGTATCTTTGAGAAAAACGTCTTGAGCCCCTCTATGGAAAATCGTAGTTCTGTTTACTTTATGAGACTTTTTCTGCTAATCTGTATGCGAATGAACTGAATCATGAAGAATAGAAAATGAGATGTACAAAGAAAAAACGTCATGGGACATGAGAAACAATTTGTTTTGCTTTTTTAGGAATTGAAATTTTAGGAAAAAACTACTTGTAAGAACAAAGAAGTAATAAAACACGGAATAATTCATTAGCTTCAGTCGGAAGGATCAGAAAAACGGAAAAAATCAGAAAAACGGAACAAGCAACGGAAGGCGAAGGCGTTGAGAAGTGGTGGAGGCGGTTCAGAAAAAAAGGAGGTGCTTCGAATTTCAAAGGGTAGAAATCGGAGAGCTGACGGGGAGTGAAATGAAAATGATATATCATGAAGACTCCAAAAGGAGAAGGCATATTGGAAAAAAGGAAACGTCTTTTTTAGAAGCGACGTTCTCCTTTTCAAAAGTGATGAGAGCTGAATGGGATGAACTTGGGAGAGAAGACATTTTCGGTCACATGTGCCTCTTGCGCACTGGTTCACGCACAAATACAATTACTAGGTGCATGCGGATGCACTTTGTTTTTGAAAAAGAGTGGGAACAAGTAGAAGAAGATTTCCAAATCAGTGGAGCTAACGGATTAACCTTTGTGACCTTTCTTCCCAGGTAATCAGAGATCAAATGAGTTTGGATGGACTGGTTTTGACGTAACTGTAAACACTTGACATTGGTAGCAACGTGGGATACGATGCAGGGAAGCATTGATAATCAACCAAATTTTTATATATGGCAAATTAAGGTAGCTAGTAGAATTCCTAGGTCAAGAAAATTTTCAGAAAACTTCAAGGCACTCCGACAATTTGAATATGGATTACCTTAAAAATCACAATTTTATAAAAATCGTCATATTCAAAATATTGAAATTTCAATAGATGAAGCACCTGACAATTATCTTAGAATTTCCTATTTTGAATTTCTCAAAAATCAAAAAATTGAAAATTCTGTTTTTTAATGTTATTTATTGTTTATTTGTTGGTTGTGCTTGAATCAATGTTCAACTTTGGTTCCCAAAAGTTATTCTTGTTTAATGTCGTTTGGTCTTCAAAATAGGACTTCCTATTATATTTTTTGCTTCGAAGGATTCTGAAAAAAACGATATTGCTTGTTCTTTGAAATATCCAAAACCAACTTTTCATAATTTTTAAAGCTCCTTATTTGTATTTTTTTTTCGAATTTTTTAGAGAGTCTGCAAAAATAAAAAGTTGAGTTTCTAAAAGTTTGAATTTTAAATTTTAAAAAAAGTGAATTCATAGAAAATCTGAGAACAACCGGAAAAATTTTAAGGCTTGTCTAACCCGTAATATTCAAAAAATGAGCTACATTCCTAAGATCATGACATACATTTCAAATATGCATCACGTCATGTCACAACAATAGGTGCGTTGTGGACACCTTGCTCACAAAACAAAACTTCAAAATTTTTAAATCAAAAAAGGAAAAAAAAACAACTTTGGAACTTCTACAAACAAGTATATAAACTTTGATAAAGTCACAACTTTTTTCCCGGAGAACGTGTTAATACTGTCAGTCCAAAAGTCATCCCTCAAGTTCATGCGTAGAGTGCGTATTTGCATATGTCAAATACACTGGGTAGAGTTTTTTTTTCAGTGAATATCATCTTCCAGAACATTTTCCTTTTTTCATATCCCAGTGACGTTTATATGAAAGTTAAAGAAACATCCAATTAATTTATGTGCTTTTTTTCAGTTCAGTAAAATATTTTCAGTCCATTGGAGCGTTTCACTTCATTGGAGCGAAACGCAAAAAAGTCCATAATGTGATGAAAAATCTGTAAAAAGAGTCAAAAACTACCTGGTATACAACTTTAAACAAAAAAATCAACAAATAAAGATGATGAGTGGGAAAACGTAAATAGTATCCCGAGCAAACAAGAGTTTTGACAGAGATGACTCAATGACAAATATCTCTTGTTACTAATCATTTTTTGTTTTTATAAATACATTTTTTAAGTTTTTTCAATACCATTATTGAGTTGTTTTGAACAGTATTGTTGGTACTCTTTTTGTTTTTAGGATTTTCAGAAATTCAATGTTTATTCTTGGTATTTCTGGTATCATTTTTGTTAATTTTACGAACAAAAAGGGAACCTCAACACCTCACAAACCCAGATTTTTATGGAAATTTCAGGATATGTTTAAAATCGCCTATCTAGACATCTCTAAAATTTTTAGAATCCGCCCGCCAGTTACAGCCGATTTATATCAGTTTCAGTAGCAAAAAAAACGCCTGTTCAGTGCAAAAGTAGCGTTTTCGAAGACGATTTTCTCCACTCCTAGGAGGTTCCAGAACTTGAATCTTTTTGTGTTATACTTAAGTAATTTAATGAAATTTGGTATTTCGAACTTTTTTTTTCAAAAAAATTTTTTTTTTCAATTTTAGAAGAAATCTGGAAAATCGTGAAAAAATTGCAAAATAAAAAATATTTATGTTCTTGAAAAAAATTTGGAATATTAAATTTCATTAAAATTTGAATATAACGCAACGAATTTCATGCTTTGAAACGTCCCAGGAGTGGAGAAAGTCGTCTTTGAAAACGCTGCTTTTGCACTGTAAAGGTGATTTTTGGTACTGAAACTGATATAACTCGGCTGAAACTGGCGGACGGATTCTAAAATTTTCGGAAATGTATAGATTGGCAATTTCCAACTTATCCTGAGGTTTTCATCAAAATCTGGGTTTGTGAGGTGTTGAGGTTCCCTTGTTAGTATCATTTCTAGTCTCTTTCGGTAGTTTTAGTAATTTTGGTATTTTAGGAATTTTATGTATTTTAGGAATTTGAGTCTTTTTTTGGTTTTCTCAAGGTCATTTCTCGGTATGTTTGGTAGTTTTGGTATTTTTGATATTTCCGGTGATTTTTAGTATCTTTTTCTGGACTTTCTGTTTTCTAAATAATGAAAATTTTTGAACGAAATTTCCAAATTTGTAATTTTTTCTGATTAATCACTTTTGTTGATGATTTATTGCAAATCATTTTTTGATGACTGAAGTGTTTGTGTGTTTTTCTTTAAGGTGTTGTTTGAAAATTAGCATCCTTTTTTTTTAAATCTCTGCAATTTTTGGTTTCTTTAAAATGAGATTCGAAAAATTGCTAGAACGAAAAGCGAGAAAATTGCTCTCATTAATGCAATTATGTCTAGTGAAGCTTATAGTCGTATTTTTGAAAACAACCTTTCCTTTCTATTTGAAGAATGAAAAAATGAGAAAAAATTTTAATAAAAAATGTTTTTTTGATATTATAACTATACATAACGTTGTCATTCTTAAATTCTAAATAAGCAACTTGCAGGTGAATTGAACCTGATTATTTATTCATTTAATTTCAATATTAGTCAAATTTTAGCTGACTTTACACAACTTTAAGATAATATAATCTTTGTTCTTGCAGTGATTCAGTATTTTAAAAGTTTAAAAATTTTGCAAAACTGTATCTTCCCTTCACGTCACCTGTACTTCTGCTCAAACATGTGTGAATCACCGTATCAAGAACAACCAACCAACAAAATACGAATGATATCGTTTTTGAAAACTGATAATTCATCGAAATTTTTCAACAACTATACTGTACGAGTGATAATGATAAAGGCATCAGCTCGAAAATAGGTTGACTCACACGGAATTTCAAACTGTAAAATTTTCTCAATCGAAATTCTACAACGCCCAGCTTGAAGTTGCCTTATCAGTCGGAGTTATTATTTTTCCAACTCTTGCCCAATCACCCCGCTGAATCACTGGTTCGATGACGTGCCCATTTAAAAACTGATACCAGATTTTTTTTCTCTCTCTCTCTCTATGTCACTCCACCTCTCTAACAATCAGCTCTAACTTTTGTATAAAATACACATTTATTTTCTGTCAAGTTCACACCGTCCCGTCTCCTTTTGGGGAGTTGAGAAAAAGTAAATATTTGAGCGTTCATGCTTATCTTTAAATGGCTAAAATCTTGTCTTTCTTCATACCTGACACATCGTGTTGCCAAAAACTCGCTTTTCAGTTTTTTTTTGATATTATGAAATATATTCTTTCCACTAAAACACTACTTTGCAATTCTCTATATAAAGAAAAGTATCAAATTTCATTTCTTCCTTCGTATTCCAAGAATTGTTTTCAACAACTAGTTTTAGGTGTAGTTTTTACGTTCTAATGATAACAAGTAGTTCCTTTTACCACGCCCAACCAGGTTTATCATTCCTTCCTCTTGCCTATCCATACTTAGACCATCCCTGAAAACATAGGTTGCATTTTTCTTCTTTTCAGCTTTTACCTTTTTTTGTTTTATTTCAAAATACATAGAAGATGAAAATATCCCAAATACGAAAAAGCTCATGTGCTCTCTACGGAAAAAAAAAGACATTTCCGAATATTCTCGTATTTTGTGTCGCGTCATCCTTTTCTCTTATTTTTGGCGTTACTAAGCGGTTGTCCTGGATGCACCATGTGCGGCCGTCTGTTGTCAATGAAAATTTCCATAAAGTGCTCGGCTTTCTCTCAACTTTCTTTTTCATTTTCTTTTTTTATTTCTAATTCTGTCACTTCCAGATTAGCAAAGCAAGATGTGTCTCTCCGGACTCACTCAGATCCTCTATGGACTTATTATGACTGGAAGTGCTATTCTGACAGCAGTTGCCCTGTTCACACCAGGTGAGTTACACTTTTCTCAATTTAATTTTCGAAAACTGAAAATTTCCAGGCTGGAATACGATTGAAAATAATGTTAAGGATGTAACAAATGGCGGCAAACCAGACTGGAATGGTCTGATGCCATGGTCCTGCATTAGTCACTCTCAGGGATCGACATGCTCTGACTGGTGGGCAGTAAGGGATCCTTATACGAAATTTGTATAATCTGAAAATAATTTTCAGGAGCTCCCAGGATGGATGCGCTGCGTTGTTATTTGTATGATTCTTTCTCTCATCGTACAAATCGTTGCCATCATTTACAATCTCTTGACTTGGTAAGCGACTTACAGTACTGGTTCACAAGATATACAAAATTGTGGTTTTCAGTGGACCCTTACCATTTTTAGAAGCCTGGAGCTAGGATGTCCAGTTTCTGAAAAATTTGAATTTTTTGGAGGGTGTGAAACAGACCTAGATTGAAAACTTTGCTTTCGCAGAATTTTTTGAAAATTCCTCGCTTTTCAGTTATTTGCCGACTTCTGAAGTACACATGTTTTTTCACATTTTCATTACCAAACTAGCCGAAATGGGATTCTTTTCAGAAATCGGCAATTAACAGAAAAACTAGAAGTTTTCAAAAAAATTTGTAGATGCAATGTTACCAATCTAGACTTGTTTTACATTTTTCAAAAATTTCAAAATGATCGGACACTTGACAGCCGAGCTCTAAACTTCCGAAAATGGTTGAAATCTAGTGAAAAATGCGGGTTTGTACATCTTAATGAACGGCACTGTAGCTTTGTCGACGGTAACAGTAACCTTCCAATGTTTTCAGTCTTGCCTGTTGTTGCAAGAAATACATCATTCACCCACTCACCTTGTTTGCCGTCGTCTCCACTATCCTATTGCTCATCACTGTTATTGTTTATGCAGCTAATTGGAGTGAATTCCAAAATGGATTTAACACAAGCTCTCAGGTAAGTTCAAAAAAAAAATTATAAACTCCAATTAATTATTTGCAGCTCGGATACTCTTTCTGGCTTGCTGTGGGAGCATTGATCTTGTCTGCAGCCGATGTTATTTTGGGAGCACTTGCAGTCTTCCTTGGAGAGAACTGCTGTTAATTATTGTATTATAATGATTCTCAAACACTGTAATAATATTGCATTTTTCCATAACTCAATTCTATTTATGTGATATATGAAGAGTTTTACAATGTTTCATTGCCAGACTGTGTTTGTAAAGGCTTTAGGGAAGATTTTGAACTCGATTTTTGCTTTTGTCACCTCACCTAAACTAAAAAAAGTGCAAATAGGACTTAAGGGGAGAAGAAATTAACAATTACTGTTTGTAAAAGGTCTTTTGAACTGTTGTAAAACATGTGAATATGTATGTTCTCGGCACAAGAGAAGAAGGACTCTGGCGTGCTCTCGCCCAACATCGAGATCAAAATTTTTTTAGTTTCGGTCTCTGCCACCCGCGTAGGTGGCAAGGGTCAGAGAACGGTAAAAGGAAAAGAGAGATCATACGTTGAACTCGAGGTGTGAAAAGTAGCAAGTTGTATTATTTGACTTCATTTCAAAAAGAATTTACGTACTTTTTTAAAATGTCAAGAGTGACTCACTGTATTGTCCAGCGTTTTACAAAGAACATCAGCATTGAAGTTTTTCTTTTGTATGGAGTTTGCGCAAAAATGCATTGTTGATCTTTAAACAGGCGATTCAATCACAGAATGTGAGGAATGAGATCTTTGAACTACAGTATACTTTTGTAGGGGAAAATTTTTTATTTGGGAAGGTTTAGAAGTAAAATTTCTTTCGAAAAATCAGATAAACTAGTTGAAGTACCCTATTTGTTCGAATGGAGCCCTAGCATCTCGATTCTAGTGAAATATACAAAAAACTTGTTACATGATAAATTATTTTTCATAGTATCACCTGTATTTCATCAGTTGGCAAACTTTTGATATCTTTCACAGGAATCGATATTAACCAAGTAAAAAGTTAACGGTTTGGGTGGGCTCCTGTTATAGGAATACGGTATTTAATAGAGTAACTTTGCTGAAAAAATTCTAAGCGTTTTTGACTGAGCTACCGTATTTTCAATATTACACTTTAACATCAATTGTTTGAAATTCTGAAGCACCTAGTTTCAAAGTGTCAAATTTAAAAAATGTGTTATGATCTGACAGTTTTTAATCATTTGACAAAATTTTGATAACTCTAATACAGTCCAAATTCATAAAATATACGACAACGTATTTTCCAGTGGTTTTTGGCCATTTTTACCATTTTTAAGAATCTGGAGCTCGGATGTCAAGTTTCCGATTGATTAGAAAATTCTGGAGGGTGTAAAACAGACCTAGATTGAAAGTTTCGCCCTCTCATAATGTTTTAGCTATCCTGCTTTCTCATAAAGTTGCTCATTACCAAAAGATTCCTGCTTTTTCACGTTTTCAGTACAAAAACGGGCCAAAAATAGGAGTTTTTTATAAATATGTGAATAGCTGAAAAATTAGAATTTTCAAAAATTTTAATGAATGCAAAGTTCTGAACCTGGACCCTTCAATTCTATCAAAAATACGGCAAAAGGTTTGATATGATGAATGCTAGCTTAAAATTTTTGTTTCCTTTTTTTCGAAAAACTCGAATCCTTATTTTCAAAATTGATTCTTTAATTGTTTTGCAACACTCTCTTTGAGTACATTTTGACGTATAACTTGCTGAGAATCTGAAAACGTTTACTGATGAATAATTGCTCATCTTTGCTTCTTGAACTTCCCGCAAAAAAAAAACACTCAAAGTCCAATTGATCCTACTACACCCAAAAATTTTCTCTTATCCGATCTACTCATCATTTCAATCCGATTTACTCCCTTGTTTGATACTCAAGATACACCCATTTCTTTTGTGAATGTGTCTTGTGAATTAGTCAGCCCCAAAGTAGCACTGGGTGCCACTTGGTAACCTTTGCTCCGGCCGGCAAAACATGATCACATGTTCAAACAAGCGCATTTGTCAAAAAAAAAGTCTAAGCGTCAAAAAACCTAACAACTTCCGAAATAATAGTGGCGGATCATTTGTAGCGATGGTCAGTGGACCAGCAGCACACGGAACGGCTCATTTTGTTTATTTGTTTTCCTGTTTGTAGGGGGAACACCGGAAAAAAGTTTATTTTTGAAAACGATTATTTTTATTTGCAAGATGAGAAAGAAGAAGCGGAACTCTCAAATTTGATGAGCAAATAGAATGAGGAAGTGATCATTCGAACAACTTTTTTTGGTTTTCAAGTAATGTAAAATTTGTTATAGAAGCCCACCCATATCGTCAAGTTTGAGCTCAATTATCTTGATTTCTGTGAAAGATATGAAAAGCTCGTCAACTGACGAATTATTGGTGATATCATGATTAGTAACTCAGCCGTTGACAAAGTTTTAAAATCTTTATAAAGAATCAAGAAAATTGAGCTAAAAGTGCACGTATAGGGTGAGTTTCTATTAGAGGAAATACGGTAACGTCATCTGAACCGTTTTCGGAATGTTTTAGTATGATTTGTTGAATATTGAAAATAATGATACCCACTACAGTAATGACCTCTAATAAAAATCAAGCCATTTTAGATTTTTCAGGATTTTCTTATTGGGGAATTTAGCAAAAATTGAATATTTCCATGACTCCAAATTTCTCATTTTTTCAGCTAGAAATCTTCATTAAAGTTCAAAATTTTCATAACTCCAGAAAATATAAGTATTATATTTGAATGAATCTTCTCATTTTTTGAACGTGAACTGCACATTTGCAATGTTCAATTTACTGTAAACTCTTTAGTAGAATGATCTCTAAACTTTCAAATTTAAGCCAATATATCTCATTTCCTGTGAAATGTATCACAAAGTCGTCAATTGGTGAAATATTTTTGATACTATGTTAAACATTTGTTCGGTTGACCATATTTTGATATCTTTCACAGGAACCGAGTTATATGATCTTTTAGTTGACGGTTTAGAAACATTCTATAGGAGTATTTACGGTAGTAATGATTCCTTTGAACCGGACATTTCAACCCAACGTAACTGACCAACCTATATTCATACAAGTTTGTTATTTATTTTACCCCTTTTTAAACATCTATGAAAAAAAGAATATGGAAAAATTTTGATCGTTCAACTTACAACATACAAATATGCCTTTTATCATCCTCTACATAAAAAAGCTGAAATATCTTTCGAAATAAAGATCTACATCAGCAACTCCCACACAAAAAATGTTCAGAACGCTGGAAACTCCCAGCTCTTCCTGCTTTTCAGACGTGATTTCCTTGTTTATTCTGCTGATAACTGCCTGTCTGACCAACCGGGGTTTCCTGTACGTTGTGTTTGTAAAAATAGTCCTGACTCATCCCCCAAAATTTACTACGGAAAACCAAAAAGTTCACTTCCATTTTGCTTTCCCCTGTCTATAAAGATGAGAAACATTTTCGAAAAGTTTTCAATGTCACAAAACCTATAGAAACTTCTCTCTTTGTGTGTACTTTGCGTAAGCCGATTAGACTGATTAATTGAACTAGTGCTACTTTGAAATGACCCTTTTTAAACTGATGGAAAATGATGAAAAGTGTTCTTCATGTTACTGGAACTACGAAAATTACGTGTTTTTTGACTAGAAAATGGGGAATTATATGCACCGACTAGAAAGTGTGGAGAGAGATAAGGAATCAAAAGAACATATTTCATGAAAATGAGTTTTTTTTTGTGTTTCTAGATTTCCAGAGACACTGTGTTCATCTGAAATGCTGGAAACCTTGAATTGAAATTGTTTGCACAAGAAAAATCATAATAACAATTTGGGAAGATATACCGTAACCTCTCTAATATAGTGCCATTCAAATCGTAAACTTTGAACCCATATCATTTTCTGTAAAAGATTTCAAGAAGTGGTCAACTGATAAAATGTTTCTGATATTAGGATAAACATATTAATAGTTGGCCACTTTTAGATATTTTTCACAAGAACTGAGATAATGAAGCTCAAAGTCACGTCCGAGGTGGGCTAAGATTACAACTGACTAAGACATACCGTTGTCTGCAGAATCGTGAATTCTTATACAGAAAGCTAGATGATTGGGCTTAAACTATGAAGTGGCATTATATAAAGCATCTACAGTAACCGAAAAATGATGATGAAGAGCAACCTTTGGACTTGGAACCAAATCTAAGAACAAAAATGCTACTTTGAAATTTTTATTTTAACCCATAGCACTTTTCAAATTGTCATTCCTTGTAACTGTACTATTTCACAAGAATACCTAAAAACAACTGAAAGTGTAGATCATGGAAACAGAGTTCATAAATGCGACTGAATGGACAGCGACAGAAACACCCAGCAAACGACACTGCATTATAAAAATGGTCATGAACCCGGGAGGACAAAACAAAACTTTTTAGAAATTCCCACGATTTGATGACTCAAGGGATAGAATTGCATGGGTGGTGGCCCATCATCATCATCATTTTTTGATATTTTCCTGACATCACCATCACACACACAAAAAACTTAGAATTGGGCGGGACAGTTATGTTTGTATACTGAACGGGGTACCTGCACCGAGCTAAACATAATAAACCCGCCAAAAAAATTCTTTGCGTAGGAGACCAAGGTAAGGCGCCGCCTCCTCGAAGGTAACTCCGTCTATATAAATTGCAAGGAGCACAAAGCTCAACCAGGTATTCTTCTCCTTGAGGTGATTTTCTTACCTCACAATGATTTCGAATCTCGATAACGATATACCAACTATTGAAGAACTTTCCGAAGTTCATATTGCTGATATTCATCACATTGTAAGAGTAGTTTTAAAGTTTGAATTGGAGTCTAAAATCTATAATTTTTACAGGAAAAAAAGCATGAAATGAGGCCCAAGGCATATTCCTTGCCTGAACGGCGAACTGCTCAACAACAACCACAAGGTAGTAAAAAACGATCCCGTTTTGGCACTATCAAGCAATCAGTGAAACGGCAAATCTCTGGAAGTATCAGAAGGTGGGTGAATTCAAAGTTCATTTTTTTTACAATTGCGCATTTTCATCTGAATAGAGAACAGTTACTCATTAAATTTTGATGATTCTGTATTAAAAATTCCGAATAGAGCAAAATTATAACAAATCCTTAAAAATCCCTTTTATCTCAATAAATCATTTTCAGCATTGGAGCATATGCTGGAAGGATAGCAAAGCCTGCAAATGCCTATTTCCGATGGAACCTGCTTTTCACTTTTCTGATCTTTCTATTTATCTCTTCAGCTATCTGGATTCCATGTATTCCTGCAGTCAATGTGAGTGTTTTGATGTTTCAAGTAATTCAAACTACCGTATAAAGTAGAGGGGTCCCTACAATATCAAGTTTGAGCTTAGCTAATTATCTTGCTTTCTTTGAAAGATATGAGAAAAGTATCAAATGAAATAACACTTCTGATATTATGATAAACAACTTACCAGCTGGCATCTAGCTCAAAGTTGAACATTGGCGGCTTTTATAGGTTTTACAGTACTTTATATGATTTTAAAAACAATTTTTGTTCAGGATTTCGCATTGGAAATTGTCACAATCATCTCCATCATTTTACATTGCCTCTGGATCATTGCTATTATCAATGCACTCAGATATACTTGGAGGTTGAGGAGATTTGCATCGCATGAGATTCGACTCGACTTGGTCAAAAACGAAGCTGGAATCAAAATGAAGCACTTGGTGGGCTTGTGTGTCTACAAAGAGCCTTTGGATCTCTTGATGGACACCATTGACAGTATTGCTTCTCAGCCAAATGCCAAGGAAAAAATCACATGTGTGGTAGGAATGGAAGGAGGAACTCCAGACAAAGAAGAGGTGAGATTAATAGAGATGAGTCAGTTTAAAAAAATACTTTGTTTAGAAAAAGCGAATTCTCGACGACAAATACGGGCCACAGTTCGAGCGGTTTATTGTCACATTCCACCCACGTGGATTGCCCGGCGACATTCCAGGTAAACAAATACCCCCACAGACATAAAGAAAGAAACTGTTTGGTTTTCCAGGCAAATGTTCGAATTTCAACTACGCGGCAAGAACAGCGGTCAAGATATTGAGAGCTGACAAGAACTACCCATTGGAAGAGTACGATAACAATGTGGAATTGATAGTGACCACTGGGGACTGTGATAGTGTTTTCGGGGACCGCTATTTTGACGCGTTGGAGGAAGACTACTGGAAGCTCTCCCCCAAACAACGATCCTACACTGTCTGGCAATCTCCACTCTTCTACTGTATCAATCTGGACCAATCTCCATTCTTTGTCAGAGTTACTGGTTTATTGAGAGCTTTCTTTATGATGGGATACCTCATTCCATGGAACATCAACACCATGAGCATCTTCTCCTTGACTCTCAAGCTGCTCGAGGAAGGAGAATACACTCATCCAGGATATCAAATGGACGACATCATTGCTTTGATTAGATGGTCGTTGGCAGTGAGAAGGAAGTGTGTGATTCGAGCTATTCCGGTTGCTACGTTGTCTGGACCTACAAGTGGTGAGTATAGCATCACTTAAAACTAAATCATTCAAAACGGCAAATATTTCGGAGGGTGCCAATCTTTTTGGGTCATTGGGATACAAATCAAATTAGGATTACAAAATCCTAAAATCCATTTATTACCCCTTAATAACTTTGTACCGCCAAACTGTTGTACCCTCCAAATTAAGGGCAACTCCACTCAATCTGTCAATATATATTACAAGTTGATTTTAGGAAAAAATTATGTCGATGAGTGGTACGAGTGGGCTCGTCAAATCCGTCGCTGGACCATTGGAGCCGCCGAAGTCTTCCATTACTTTGCCATCAAGTTTTTCCGCCTTCCAGTTTCAGTTTCCATATCCTTCGCCGCCAAATTCGTTTTCTACTACGGATTCTTGCTTTGTATTGCATCTGTCTACACTATCATCGCTCCTCTTGTGGTATATACTCTTCTTGTTTTTCTCCAAAACTGTATATCAATTTTAGACCCCCGCCATGCTGAATGCTGTTGACCATGGAGTGCACGGACTGGTGATTCCAAACAACAAGTGCTTTATGATAATCATGTTCGGATTTCTGGGCCTTCAGTACATCTGGTTCTTTGTTGTCTTCCTCGTCAACTACCTTTGCCAACCGGTAAACACTGACCTTTCAACAATGACCAACAAAGGTTTTTCAGGTGTTCCCTCGTCAGACGAAAGACAAAACCGGTTTCATTCGCAACATTTTCCACTGGCTGATGACCTGGCCAACGTTGGTCATGTACTGTTGTGTGGAATTAGTGGCGTTTTTAGAGGTACGGGTACATCGGGTAATTAGAATAATTACCATCATCTCTTTTCAGGTTACGGTTCGCGGAAAATCCGTCTGTTCGCATAATGCGTCGAAGAAGGACAACCTTGTTGCACCCGTGCCCAGCAAACAACCGGATCGCATGGAAGTCTAAATCTATTTCACAAAAATATTGGAATTTCTCAAATACCAAAAAAAAAACAATCATTGTGTACCATAATGTAGCGGGTTCTAGAATTTTTCTAGTCGTCTCTTTTGTAAATGTTTCAATTCTCAATTTTCTGACTTCTCAATAAAACGTGTTCTGATGTATTCGTATCTCAATAGAACACCTACAGTACCGGACAATAAGATATACAAAAACGAATTTCTCGGTGAATTTTAACCATTTCGATTCTCAATAGTCTGGAGCTCGGATGTTTAGTTTCCGACCATTTTAAAATTTTCGAAGGGTGTGACTACGGATCAAGACTGAAACTTTTGCTTTTACAGAATGTTTCGAAAATTTCTAGTTTCTCAGCTACTTGCTGATTTCTGAAAAGGTCCGATTCTTGGCTTGTTTGGTACTGAAAACGTAGGAAAGCAGATGCTTTCGTACTGAAAAATCGAAAAAGGAAGTGCGATCGAGAAGTCAGAAAAAAGCAGAAAATCAACTGAAAAATACATGTTTGTATATCTTACTGGTCGTTACTGTATAAGCTGAACTTGTACTTTTTCGAGATTCCTAAAAAAAGACGTTGATTGATTGTGTCATGGACCCCTCCTTAGAAAACGCTTCTTCTCTTATCTGATCATGATCCGACTGGCACGGAAAATTTCGCGAAATATCTTCTCTGCGCAATTGTGTGACGAGCGTACGGTTCTATCGCCTCCAGCTTCTTATCAGAGTCTTCCCGAGGACACACAAACACACAAAACCTTCTGGACGATGACCTGACCCCCTTTTCTTCGTCAACCACCGACGACGCGGACAGAGAAAGGTGAGACGAGAGCGCGCAGAGAAAATGGAGAGTAGTGAAAGGACAATATCGGACACGGGGGGTACTTCTTGTCCTGAATCATCTAGGTCGCCTAGGAGAGAGAGGTGTATATCGGGAACCCTCCCACATTGTCGTTAGTCGATTTGCATCCATCCACACTCATTGGCTGCTGTGCACAACCATGCGTTCGATTGTTTGGATTTTAGCTGCGACGACAGCCTTGGCTGCCGCTGCCATTAACGATGCCGATGTGCCAGTTGTCATTCACCTTCCAGCCCAACAGCATAGGCCAAGATTCTTGGGACAAGTAAGTGCTACTTTTTTTCGTTCATCAAGCTAAAATTGATTCTGTAGGTTGCCCCACCACGCGCTGTGAACACCGTTGTTGCTCCACGAGCTCCATCTGCCGCCCAAGAAAAGGCTATCGCTATTCCACAAGCCCAACAACCAATTGCCCTTCCACCAGCACCACCAGCAGCTCAACAACCAGTGCTGCCAGTTGCCAATGGAGACCAATCGTTTGCTCCAAGACAAGGAGCCGCCGTGCCACCACCACCACCAGTCAACATCCCAACTGATGTTCAGAACCAGCTCATCAAGTTCTTCGGACTTGACTCGTTCGGAATTCCAGGGCTTACTGGAAACCATCCAGAAGGATTCGCTGGAGCCGTCCAGGAGATGAGAGCCGCCGGAATTCCAGTTCCAGGAAACCTAGCCGGTAATGGAGCTCCAGCTGCTGCTGCCGAGGGTGTTAAGACTGTTAACGATGGTAAGAATAGTGATATTTTTGATTTCCAAGAAAAACCAACATTTCAGACGTCCTTGCTCAAGCCAATCCAAACTTCCAAGATCAACTCTCCCAAATCCAAAACGCTGTCAACAACCCAGGACCATACAAGGGAGGAGCCAATGTCCCACTTCCAGCTGAGCAACCAGGAGAGAACGGACTCATCGGACTTCTTTCCAATTCTATCAGAAAGGTCATCAAGGATAGTGAGTGCAATCAATTTCTATATAATTTAGAGGAATAAACTTCAATTATTTACAGCCGGAGTGAGCGACGCTCTTTCCAACTCTATTCCAAACCTTCTCGGATCCGGATCTGGAGCTGACTCCTCATCTGCCCCAGCCTCATCTTCCAATATCCGTCGCGCTCCAGCTTCCTCTGCTTCCCACGATGACGTCCCACAAGTCGCCACCGCCGCTGGATCCTCCTCCAACATCCGTAGACAACCATCCGCCGCTCAAAGAGCCATCTCTGGATTCGCTGCCGCTCTCGGAGGAGGAGGCAACAACTCGCCAACTCACGCCGGACTTCCAAGAATCCCAGGAATCCCACTCCTTCCAGGAGGAATCCCACGAAACTCTCAAGGACAAATCGACATTGTCAGTTTGATCGGATCCGTCACCAAGCGTGTGTCTAACGGAACCACTTTGGCCGAGCTTCTTCCACCAGAGAGACTCCAAACCCTTGCTGACAACGTCACCGACGCCCTTCTCCCAGAGACTCCAAATGTTGACTTGTCCAAGTTCATGGGAAGATGGTTCGAGGGAATTAACTCGCCAAGAGCCACCGAGCAAAGATGCGTTGTTCACCATTGTTAGTTTCCGGGAACCTTTTTTTTTTTTGAAAACTGATTTCTTAAGCGATTTTTCAGACGGAGGACTCACCCGCAACGACAAGACCGCCACTTTCACCGCCCTTAAGGTTTACAGAGAAGGATCTGAATTCGGACCAGTCAAGTACTCTATCGGATACGCCTTCCGCGGAGGAAACAAGGACGCCATGCTCCAACTCCACTCTTCCGAAACCAGCGATGCCCAACCATGTTAGTAGAGCACTTTCAGAAATTTAAAACAGTAAAAAATTTCAGTCTGGATCTACAAGCTCGGACCAGAGGGCAAGAACTCATTCGGAGACTCCCAATACGAGTACGCTATCATCTCGAACTGGGTGAAATATCCAGTGACTGTTTTGGTTCGCGATCCTGACACTTTCAAGGCCAAGTACCAAAAGGAGGTAGGATATTATTTTAAAAAGCTTGATATATTCTCAAAATACGAATTCCAGGTTCTCCGCTGGCTCGAGGATCAAGGGTTCATCAACGGGTTCATCAGAGCGTTCAACCTTCTCCAACCAGCCGGATACTCTAGCTGTCAATACGCTGACTCCACATTCGAGGTGTTCGGAAAGTAAACGGGCTCAACTACACAAAACAATCAACAACCAAAAATAATTTTCCACTGAAAAATCTCTTAAATGACCTCTTTCCATTCTCATTCGCACTTTTTTTTCCATACCCAATATTACCACCAACACATTCCCCCATTTTTACTGTTACTTGTACAGCTAATAATAATTTTAATAATAATAATAATTGTACCGTAATAAGCGCCATCCGTTTCACCATAATAAACAATTATCTCCAAACTTTTCGTGTCTTTCTCTATAACACCAAAAAGGTCACAAACAAAGGTACACGTTGACCCAATTACGATTAATTACTCAAGGTAATGTACCTGTGACCATACAGTACTAGTAGTAACTTCGCACAGGTTGAAACATGGAACACAGACAGGCACCGAAAAGGGGGGGAGAGCCTTTTCTGAAGATTGATGGGCGGGGTTCAGGTTATGAAGGTCGGAGAAGGGAGACAACGAAGAAGAAGAAGGCGTCCATCGCAACAGACCACCGAGTAGCCGTCACATCATACGATCAAAACTTCTCTGGAGAGTTAAAAATAATATTAAAGGATTATGTGGTGTCGAAACGTTGTTCTGTTATTTTGTATTCTCAATGGTGCTGTAGCAATCGGAGAAAATGCTGTAAGTTATTTTTTCTAGTTTTGAACATAATTCGAAAGGTACAACAATTTGGGGGTCCAGCGGGTACAAAGTGATTTAGGGGTACCAAATCTACAATTCGGGGGTACAAATACGGATTTTCAGGAATTTCGTACCCTCGAATTGAGTATTGTATACCCTTAAATTGTCTTGTAACCCAATGACCCCAAAATTTTTGTTTTCCATAATTTAATTATTTAAATTGCCACGAATCGAATATTTATGTGCCGTTTCCAGATGGATTTCCAAGCCATCACTGGAATCATCGGAGGAATAGGAAAAATGCTCGAAAGCAAAATCGACACCATCAACGTCCCAGCAGAGATGATCATGGGAAAATGGTTCCAGATGTACAAAGCGGCCATGAATTTTGATGTTGTTCGCACCACCATGTTCTGTCCAGTAGCTTATTGTGAGTTAAGATTCTTAACTTGAGAACCTGAACAAGTTTCCAAGCTTAACAAAAAATATGTTTTGCAGTTTCGCCAAATCCGATAATGGGGGAAGAGGGATTCTCGATGCAAGAGGCTTACAGAGTGGTCTCCAAGACTGGTCCGATTGAGACCTACAAGCGTGACATGAACAAAGTGGGACCAGGACAATATTGGATGTACACTGAGGAGTACTTCTACCCAAGACAATGTAAGACTAGCTGCTAGAGGATACTGTAACTCAAAAGTTAAAATGTATTTTCAGTCTACGTTATCGGAGCTGGACCATCATTCGACAACAGCAGCAGAAACTCCACAGAGCCAATTCAATATATTATTGCTTCCGATGCGAACCGTCTCTCCCTGATGGTTTACGCTAGAGATCCACTCGTCTTTTTCCAGGTCAGGCCTTGGTTTTTTTTCTCTTTCTCCCTTGCAATTTTTTCCCTTCATCTTCTCTAGTTTTTGAGATGAGATCATCAGATTGATTTGCAATGACACAAGGGTGAAAATTGGGTTAGCTTATCAAACGGATGACCTTATTCTGGGCGATCGCAATCCTAGAAAGCGAAAGTGAAAGATAGGAATTTTGGAATTTTGCAGAAGTACAACAAGGAGGTCGTCGAATTCATGAATGGACATGGATTCGGAGGAAATGTGTTCTGGAACAGCCCAAAGCCAATTTACCAGGGACCAGATTGCGAGTGGCCATCGGAGAAGGAAGTCTTCGCTAGAAGGTTAGAATCTAAAAGTGTATGAAACAAAAAACTATAATTATTCGTTTTCAGAGTCCTCAAAAACCAAGAAATGAACGAGCGCAACAAGAATGGAACATCGGACCCAATCCTTTCCGGAATGCCACTCGCCGATATGATCCGCGACCCAAAGCGCACCTTGGAGAGACTGGTTGGAGCGAAAGCATTGCAACAAGCGTCCGCTGGAATCACCGCCGGTCCACCAGCCAGCCGTAGCGAATGACCTGATTCCAATGCTACTACAATTTCACCTAATAATCTGTTTTTACCTTTTTTCCGTTGAGGTCTAATTTATATTATATTTAATAAGTGGTTGTTAATGTAATAACAAGAATAATACAATTAATAAGACACGGTTCCGTGTACCTTCCGTTGTATCTCATTTCTCGCATTTAGTCATTTCTCAATAAAATTGCTTGGCATATTTACCCCGACTTTTCGAATGTTCTTCGACAATTTGTTCCGTTGAAGATGACTGTTGATAGAGGTCATTAAAACGGAAGAAACTTTCAATTTTCTTCTTGTATCCGACCGTGCATGTGTACCATATCAAAAACAATGTCTCTTTCTTTCTCTGTTTGCAGCAAGGCAGTACAATCCACGGGGAAATCCACGGAAAAATCCACGGAAAAAGAAACGAGGCCGGCCGTCAGGAAGATTTAGGAAGATAAACTCGAAGAGGTGAGAGAACAAGAGAACACAGAGAGAAAACCGGCAAAAGGAGGTTGGACAAAACGAGAAGAAGAAGCGAAAACAGACAGGAGAGACTAGTGACCCTGGTTCATTCCAAGAGACACACCTTCTTACAACATCCAATCCACACACTTTTATTCATTCGATCCACTGAGAATGCTCGCGACAGGCATCCTTTCGGTCTGCCTCGTGGGCTTCGTCAGCGCCCAACTCGACGCCTTTGCTCTCCCCTCAGCCGCTCGTTATGCCCCAAAGCCAACTGTACCGCCAGAGTTCTCCAACTATTTTGAGTTGGATGGACATGCTCGCGAACTGGTTGACTCTCTGCTAGGCCCACGTCCAGGAGGTCTCTTCCCAGAGAAGACGTTCGAGATTGGAGCTCCACAAGTGCCAGTCCAAGCCGGAAACCAACCACAACATGTTGTTTCCAAGCTCGAGAGAACTTTGGAGTCCTTCTTCACTGCTCCAGAAACCCCACCAGGACAGGCTCTTCCACCAGGATTCGGATCTGGATTCTCTTTGTTGAACAACAACAAAGCTCTTACATCCTTTGGAGACATTCGTAGATCACCATCCAACAAGCAGGACGACACCCCAGAAGTTGAAGGATCAGGAGATGGAAAGAGCTCAATTGCTGGAATTCCAAATGTGAGCGAACTTTTATTTTCTGATTTCCAATAATTCTTCAGGTGTTCCCAAAACTTCCAAAGCCACCAACCGAGCGTCTTGAACCAGTCAAGACCGTCGCTGTTCAGCATGATGCCATTGGAATGCCAGTCATTGAAACCGCCCCATCAGTTCCAGAGGGAGGATTTCTTCCAACCTCGGACATCCGTCGCTCGCCAGCATCTGTCTCCGAAGTCTCCCACTCGATTGACGAGAAGTCTGATGATGTAAACGCTGAAGAGGTATCCCTAGAAAAGCTTTTCTAAAATTCTATGTTATATTTTCAGTATGGAGGCCTCTCCGACGATTCTAACTCTTCTGGAGGAGGACTCATCGGAACCATCTTCAACCTTATCAAGCTCGGAGGAAAGAAGGCTAAGGAGGCACCAGCCAAGGCAGGAGCCGGACCAGCTGCCGCTGCTGCTGACCAGAAGAACTCTATCGGAAAAGCCGTGTCGAACCTTCTCGGAGGAGAGAACAGCCCACTTCCAAAGCCAGGAAGCAACATTCTCACCGATTTGCTCTACAAGACTCTCTCCAGTGGATCTCTTGAGGTACAAAAGTTTCAATTATTGCTTTTCAACCACAAAATGTATTTACAGTCCAACGAAACCATGGTTGACAAGGGTAACGGTTCCATCGTTCTCACTCCAGCCCAGTCTGCCGCTATCAGCAGCAACTTGGAAATGATCCAAGACTTGATCATCAAGCCATCCTCCCCACTCTGCACCCAAAAGCCAAACCCAGTTGAATTCGAGTTGGACCCACTAATGGGACAATGGTACCAAGTCATCTATTCCCCACCAGTCTCCACCGGACCATGCAGTATGGTGTCTTACAAGAAGTTGAGCGACAATGGAGAGGAAACAGGATCCATCATCGATGTCTATGAGTACACCACCGACGGAACTCCATACGGAAAGCCAATCATTTCCTCCGGATACGCTTTGGTCAAAGGAAAGGGAGAGCTCATCTTCAGAACTAATTCTAACAAGGATGATGTCACAGTTCACATTCTTAGCGTTGGACCATTGAACCATCAAGGAGAGTATGAGTATGTTGTCATGTCCACCAACTGCAACTATCCAGTTTATGTGTTTGCTAGAGATACCAGCATTTTCAAGCAGGTAAGAACTTTCGATTTGCCTACTTTACACGAAATACCTAATTTTCAGAAGTATGAGCCAACTGTCAACGAGTTCCTGGACAAGAGCGGTGTCGTCAACGGCATCACTCGCTTGTTGAACATTGTTGCTCCAGTCGACAACACCATGTGCATCTTCCCACCACACTTGTTCTACAACCAAGGAAGATAATTCCTTTTTCTCGTTTTCTTTAATAATTTTGATAGTTTCCCTTAATAATTTCTCTACCCCTCAAAATCCCCCGTTCTCATTTTTCCCCTCTTCTCTTTGAATCGCTCGGGTGATTACCGTAGTTAATTTTTTTCCAAAGTTTCTTTTCAGTGTTTTGTTCGCTAGAACAAATCAAAAACTCTGGCCATGGGCTTGTGCATTCGTCTTCTGTATATAAGGATATTGAGATCCGACTTTTCTATTTTTGCTACATTATTCTTTCATTTTGTTAAAATTGTCTTTCAATTTTCAATCAATTATTATAGCGATTATGATGTTTCTTATTGATTTGAGTAATTTTAATAAATTTTCACTGATTAAAAAAATTTTTAAATCAAAAAATTGACTTTTGCAATTCAAAAAAATTCACATTTTAATTCTTAAAAATCTTTTAAAACAGCGCAGCACAACTATTCAAGGCTCCTGAAAGTTTTTCGCGGTTTGTACCAAAATTTTGGATCCGGACGATTCTGAAATCTGTACTTTTGATTATTATGAACTTTCTCAATCTAATATGACCTCTAAAATTTTTTAAAACTTCCAATGTCACATAAGATGGTAGTGGCTGTCTCTTTTCCAATTTTTGCAGATAGGTCATCCAATCAGTCCTCGCATATCTTCAAAATTACTCATCACCACTTTAATTAGGTCATTGAAATCTGGAACAATGTTATATCAGCCTCATCCATCTTCTTCGCTCCAATTTCTAAGAAGTATCGGTGACAGTTTCAATTGTAATCCACTAGGAAGTGAGAAACAGAGAAAAGCCGAAATTTCGGTCAAGTGAAAGTAGAGGGTGACCGTCGCAATGATTCGCGCGGATACAGTCCAGTGAATCTTCGGGAAGAGACGGAGGAGAAGCGAAAATTGGGCACACGTAACGAGAGTGAAAGGGACGACGCCTGGACATTTTGAGGTCAACACCGGCGCGACGATACAGCCCATTGAGAAGCCCTCTTCTTCAGACCACACTTGGAAGTGTCTAACGATGCAGCGGCTTGTTATTCTTGGCTGCTTATTTGGCGGAGTGTTCCTTGCTGCACCAGACGCACCATTTTTCGACAGCCTTCCAGCAGGAATCGACCCTAATGCAAAGGTAACTTTAGTTTTTTGATAAGAATATAAAAATAATCAAAGAATTCAGGTTGGACCACCAGGAACTGACGACAAAGCTCTTGTGAAGGTAGGAGAGGTGGCCGAGTCCATCCTCGACAAGCTTGGATTCAGCACCAGAGATGAAAAGGATGTGAGACGCGCTCCAGTGCCAAGCTCTTTCTTTGGAGTAAGTTGGCTTTTCGAAAACTATTCTGGATTTTGAAATTTCAAAATTCTCATATTTTTCAACTTTCAGAGTGACGATGTCAATCAAGTCATTGAAGAGGCCAATGCCAACCGTGTCGACTTACAAGGAATCACATCTGGACAGATCCCCGGACTCGCTCCAATCCCAGTGCCAGGATTCCCAGGACCACAAGACGCTCCAGTCATCCCAGGAGTCAACACTATCCCAGGACTCAGCAACTTCAATTACCTTGTTGGTCAACTTTTTCCACAAATGATCCCACCAGCAAACACCCTTCTCGGATCCTCGATCAGCAGAATTCTTCCAAAGGATACCGCCAAGAACATTGCCAAGGATGTGTTCAGAGCCGTTCACCCAACTGCTGAGAATGTTGACACCGCTAGAATGATGGGAAGATGGTTCCAGGTCATCAACTCGCCACATGTCATCCGTGAGGCTTGCACCGTGTCACACTGTAAGTTTCGAGCACTTTTCCTAATATTCCTGTTATTTCAACCAAACTATTTCAGTCGGAGCCCTCACCAACAACACCTACTCCGCTTCATTCACCATCCTCAAGTTCTACAGAGAAGGAAATCCAAATGGATCTCCAAGATACGCTCTCGGATACGGATTCAAGTCTGGAGAGACCGGACAATTTGTCCTCCACAACAGTAACTCTGCTGACGCCGAGCCATTCTGGGTGATCAAAATGGGACCACTTAACGAGTACAAGCAATACGACTACGCTATTGTCTCCACATGGGTCAGATATCCAGTCTTTGTCATCGCTCGTGATCCAGAACGCTTCAGAAAGCTTCACATGAAGAACGTATTGGAATTCTTGCAACAGAACAGTAAGTCACAAAAAACAACAAAAAACCTGTTAAGCCAACTGGTCAATTTTACAGACTACATCAACGTGATGACCAAAGCTTTCAACATGATTTCTCCAGTCGACTATGAAGCTTGTCAATACACTCCAACGTTCTCTGGAACCGGAAAGTAAATCGCGAACAATCCGCAGCGTTCCGGACTTATGACTTTCATCTCATCGGGCGGGTAGACTCCCTCAATTAACTTTTTCGCCTTCAATGCAAAACAATCCTTTCGTCGTGTTTTGACGGAACTTGTAATAATAATAAAAATAATAATAATAATAATTGAATAATAATTTGATGATAATAATAATAATAATTCTCCGTCAGTCTTCTCATGTGTGTTGATCCTTGGAGATCTTGATCTTGACTGTTTTGCCAAAATAAACTTCCTGAAATATTCAAATGTTGTGATTTTAAGATTTGAGAAATCGAAGAAAACATGAATTTAAAAAATAATAAAATAAATTTTAAAAAATAAGAAGATCAGGTGGTACTGTTGGGAATCTCTCAAAACTTTGAGTTCTTCGAAAACTGTCCTAATGGGTTAATAACTGGCAACTTTTTGAAAAAATTGAAACGCTTTCAGTACAAAAACGGGAGTGTCTTTCAAAAATCGGCAAACAGCTGAAAAAAAAGCAAATTTCACTAAGTTCTGTGGATGCAAAACTTTCGATCTAGGTCTGTTTTACAAATACGTTTTTGCAGATCATATTGACCGGTACTACAGATGATTTCAATTTTGAAAATTTGTATTTAAGATCAAATGTTTTTCGTTACAAGATTACAAAAAATCACTGAAAATCTATGAGACATAGAATTTGATACAGTGCTAGCCGAAACGTCACACAAAAATAGAAAACTTGAGTTGAATATGGTCAGTCTTAAGTGTCTCAAAGAGTACTTTAAATTTGCCCGTTTGTTCTGAAAATTTCAGAAACTGTCAACCGAATATAGAACTCTATTTCTTGCAGTTGTCAACTTTTCTGTACTTAACTTTTGAACTTGCCAAAATGATAAGCTTCGTAAAACAATTGTTTTTTTTCTCAGTTTCCCTGACAATTTTTAGAATTTCTAGATTTTTTATGTTTGACATTAAATGTCTCTCCAGCAAGTGTTTCAGCAAAAAAGTTGTCAATTACAAAAATAAGTTTCTTTGTTTGTTCTATAGTCCATGGAACTTTCAGAACAAGCTGACAGGTGATAAATACTTTTTAGTCATCCCACATTGAGCGTTTTCTCTTGAAGCGGGAATTTCTGAACAACAATCTGGCCACCACTGCAGCTCTAAGTACAAAAAATTTATTCTGCGAGCAGCTTTTCGTTCAAAAGATAAAACATTTTTAAGCTCCGTGGAATTTTTGTTCACAACAATTTCTGAAGATTATATTTTTGTCAAGAAAAAGTACAATCGACTCAGTCCAGATCATGAAGATTAATCTCTTCCATTTCTCTTGAATTGTAGTTTTAGTCTTCAAATTGGCACTGAAATTCTTTTTTCACTTTCTAACATTGTCTCACTTTGTATTGACTTGTATCAATTCGCTCCAAAGGAATTTAGACAAGGAAATCAACATTCTCTTCCTTCCAAAAAGTGCACTCTGACACATTTTTGTCACTTTTTCCGACATAAAGCAGGTCACCGGTGATTCCAATCTTGCCGACCAATGACGACGGTGTCGGTGTGTTGTTGCGCCTTCCTCTTGCGCTTCTCAAAGATTATGTCAGATTGTCTCGATATCAACCGTTTTTCTTCGACAACTTCATTTTCGCTTTCGTAACGAAAACTGGGTCACGGTCGATCTAAATTCGATTCGGATATCGAAATTTTCCGGGATCACAGCTTGAGGAATTTGATAGGGGGAAACGCAAAAGAGATCGGATTGGAGACAATCACGTAACGTGATGAAACCGAAACGTTCGAATATTCAGGGACTGGGAATTCAGAGACGGGAAATGTAAATATGACACTCTAATAGAATGACACCCAAACTTTGAACTTTGGACTATGTTATCTCGGTTCCTGTGGAAGATATCAGAACGTGCTCGATTGGCAGAATGGTTTTGATATCATGGTGAACTTTTGTCACTTGACTATTTTTTGATATCGGTTACAGGAAGTGAGATACAGTTCTGGTCAGTCAGAATACCACGTATTTTCAGTTGATTTGCAGCCATGTTTACCATTTTCAATTTCAGGAGCTTGGCTGTCAAGTTCCCAATCCCTTTGAAACTTCTGGAGGGTGAACAAATCAAAAATAAGTGTCTTTCAGAAATTGGCAAATTGCTAAAAACTAGGAATGTCCAAAAAACTATGAAAATGCAAAGTTTTCATTCTAGATCTGTTTTACAACCTTTCAATTTTTATAAATAATAGGAAGCTAAGGCCACCGAGCTCCAGACTTCTGAAATTGATCAAAATCGTCAAAAAATTAACTGCAAAATATGTTCTGTATATCTCAATAACTGGTACTGTAATTTCTGATTATCAGACAGCCAGACTGTAAAAACGAAAATTGTAAAATTTTTTTTCATAAACAGTTTAATTTCCCTAAAATTTTGAAAACCGATTGAAAACTGAGAAATGTGAGAATCTAAAATTTTTGCTCAAAAATCATGATTTCTGAGTTTGTTCTCTAAGAAGACAGGCCCAGTTTACCCGCCGTAAAGTGTACCGAATCCCAAAAAATTCACCCTTTATACAAAATTTTCAACCCAAGTAGATCTTATGATCTTCCCACCTTCTCTGAGATCTTTGAGCTTGATGTTTGAGGTCCTTGTTTCATTCATGCGATTAAACCGCAGTTTTCTAATTTGCTATGCATGCCCCTCTTATTTTCAATAACCTCCATTTTGCCATAAGTTCTCAGATTAGAGATCAACAGATTTTTCATCAGAAAAAGAGAGCGAGAAACACGAAATTGAGTTTTTCGATCTATCCATCTGTCTCCTTCAACTTTTTCTTCTCCTCCTGAAAGTCCCAAATTATAGAGACGCGTCAAGTCTCACACACATTCCATTTCGCTTTTGTGTGCGAGAGCACAGAAGGGGCACTCATTGCATGAGCTCGCTCCCGTTTTTCCTAGATGAAGCTCGACACAAGGAGCAAGATGATGAGTTGAGAGGGAAACAAGACGCAGATCGATAGAGCGACGAGGAGCACCCGCCTCTCTCTCTCTCTCCTATTCTAGCCCCGGGCTTCATTTTGAGCCCGTCCCCCCTTCTTCTACTTCTTGTGGGGCTTTTAGTGGCTGAATACGTCGAGTTTCTTTCTTCTACTTTTTTGTCGGCCTCTCTTGAACGTTTGAGCCGCTGCTATGACGGAGCAAGTGGTCGAACCGACGCGTGCCATCGACTACTGGGTTTGTAAGTGACATATTCAATAAATGGGTCTAGTGGGATTGATGATTTCTTTCAGGCAAAGCCACAGACAGATTCGTGACTGAGGATGAGAGAATAAAAGCGCTTGATTTCATCATTGAGAGTATTCATAAGGAAGTAGGTTTGGTTCTTTTTCTTTTCGAATATGTTTTTTATTATGCAAAGTTTTTCTGAATAGAAGATAAATGAATAACAGAAGAAAGTCTTAAGAGAAAGTTCTTTAAATTCCATTAAGCCTTGTCATTTGATTAAAAATCATGTTTCTGATTACAAATGCAGAGTCACATTAAGTGATAGCCTATTGTTTTTCAGCCAGCCAGTGCTCTTCTAGCCGTCGACTTGTTTTCGCACAAACTATCGAGCCCTTGCCAAGAGGAAGCGATGCTTACGATCCATGTAAGAGCATTGAAACAAATCGGGAATTCATGAATAACTTGTAGGCTCTCGACTATTTGGTGCGAAATGGTGGAGAGAAGGTTCATGAGCGATGTGGTCGTTACAAATTCCTAAACGAGCTTGTCAGACTGATTGCTCCCAAATACAATGGGAAATTTACAAGTGACGCGCTGAAAACGGAAATAATCAAATTGTTGTTCATCTGGCAGCTATCCATTAAGCACATAGAGAAGTACAAGCAGGTTTATGAGTCATTGAAAGCCAGCAAGATTATCACCGAGGATCCGCAGGTGAAAGAGACCGAAGTTCCAGTGTTTGCCAGTAAGTCAGGAGATGACTTGTGATATTGATAAAAAAGGGATAATCCAAATAGGGCTACATAGCTGTAGGAGGACTACAATTTGTGAGGGACATTATATACAAAAATATGTGAGTTTCAGTTCCACCTGCACGTGCGTCAGTGTTTGCTAATGAGGAGCAAGCAATTTTGTTGAAGTCTTTGTTGAACAGCAACCGTCCAGAGGATCTACAGACAGCGAACAATCTGATCAAAAGTCTCGTGGAGAGTGTAAGTGACTGTCCAATGATATGTTTGAGGATCTTCAAAGCAGAAAACACTAGATTCCAGTATGGTACTACAGTAATCCCCTGGTATTCCATTGCTCAGAAATACAGAAATTTCAAATCGTATATTGTGAATCATCACAGAAAGCTGGGAAAACATTACTTGATCCTTGTTATCGAATACGTTTGAAGTTCCTTGAAACCCAAAAAAGTAGGATGTTTGGAACATAGGCGCAAAAAACCAGTTTCTCTTAAAATGTTGAAAGTACAGTAATCCATAAATTCGAATTGACCACTCTTAATCCCTGTAATTGAGTATTTTTCAAACTCCCTGACCCGTAAATAATAAAGTGCCTGGAACTCGTATAATGACGTGACAGTACAGTAATATATAAATTCGGATTTTAGAGATTCGTCTAGTAGTCATTCACATTCTCTTGCATTTTTTTTCAAATTCCAGGAAGAACACAAAGTGCTCAAAATCCATGAGCGACGAAAGACTCTCGATCACGCAGTCCACTTGTGCCAGCAAATGGAGCACTTGAAACTTGACAAGGCCGCCGAGACGATTGGATTAGGCAGTTTTACACCTGATGCTGAACGTACTCTTCAGGTAGGGTCCTTTCCTCCTTCTCCCCTTTGCCCATTTTTTCCAAACTTCTCTATTCTACTCCGCCCCTTTTTCCAGAGACTCACTGACGAGCTCGATCAACTTCAAACAAAAATTTACGCGTATGCCAACGAGCTTGCCGAGAACAATGATCCTTGCCTGGAAGAAGTTTTAAATATTAACGACCACATCAACAAGGCACTTCCAGAGAGGGACCTTCCAAGGGGTGGCAATCGAGCCCCGGCAGCAGAAAGAGTCCATTGTGAGTTTACTTGACTTTTTTTACTTGGCCACTTCACCCGTGTGATCCTTCCCCGTCATGATTCCTTCTCTTTTTATCTCATTTTTATTGAAAATTCTATTATAGAAAGTTTTGAGAGAAGAGGAGAGAAGAGGAGAGATAGGGGAATAACTGGTTTTCCTTCAAATTTTTGTTAATTACAGTGGAGCCGGAAAACCAAGAATTGCTAGTCTTCAACTCGCCAACCAGTAAGACGGGACCGAGGAACGGATTTTGTGATCCACGTGATTTGGTAATAAATTTATATTTTTTCAAACCTACAGTATCGTTCAATAAAAACTACAAAAACATATGTTTCAGTTGATTTTTCGCTATTTGAACAGTTTTCAGGAGAGAAAGTGTGAAACAAACCTAGATTGAAAATTTTGTATTCACATAATTTTCTGAAATTTCCTAGTTTTTCACCTATTGACCGATTTTTGAAAGACACCTCTTTTTTCACGTTTTTAGTGCAAAAACTGACCAAAACGGGGTGTTTTTCAGTAAATGGAAAATAACTGCAGTTTGGGAATTCTTTAAAAAAGTATATGAATGCATAGTTTCCAATCTAGATCCGTTATACACTCTTCAAAATTTTCAAAGTGATCCGAGTTCCTGAGAGCCGAGTTTCAGACTTTCAAAAATGATAAAAATGGCTGAATGAACTGATGAATATGTTTTTATATATCTTTATGACCGGTACTGTAGTCATGAAATGTTTTATTTCAGGAAGGGAGTCTTCTCAACAACATGATTGAGTCAGAGTTTGTGGAGGAGCCAAAGGTTTGTTTTCTGGAAACTTTTCCCAAAGGAGCAAAAGAGAGCAAAACAACATTTCAGATCATTCCCGTTCAACAAATGACTCCAGTCTCAAATCGCAATAGCTCGTCGAGCCCCCGTGCTAGTGGGGACTCGATTTTCGAGACTGATTTTCTGGCTGGGAAACGATTGCCAGAGTGAGGGACGCAGGTGCAAAAAAAATCATATTTTGAAATTTTAGAGCTCCAAAACCTCCAACTCTCAATGAGCTAAAACCAAACACCACGACTATCACTCTAGATGCATTGGAAGTTTTGGTCCCACCATTGTCACCGGAGCCAACTAGTTTGTCGCCAAAAGTAATTCCGGAGAAGGTGTTCATGAATCCCAGTTCCATTATCATGAGTAATACTTTTTATTATGAATGAGAATCGGAAAAATTTTAACGATTTGTTCCAGGAAACCGTCTCCCAGTCCAGATCTTGGATAGCAAAGGTGTCCGAATCCTTCTCTACTACTGCCAATCCGACATGACTGTTAGCAACATCCACTCCTATGTGATAGTGATCCAAAACCATAATAACTTTGTCATGAAGAATGTGCAATTGAGCATGACTACTAATGACAAGGTAAATTTTTAGAAAAGTTCATTTTAACCTATTTTTCTCAGAACGTCATCATTCGCTTGCAAGACGCTGTCAGCGAGCTGCCTGGCTTCAACATCTTCGGACAGCAAGTCACCAGCAACCTTCTCCTCTGCATTCAACAACTCAACGACGTGAAAGAAGTCGAACTCGATTTTTCTCTTGCATATAGAAAGACGATGGAGTCGGCGATAAGCGGAAGTTTCACACTGACACTTGTCCCGGAGCACGTTTTCAATCTCAACTTTTGAATACTAAATGATCTCTTTTTCCGTTTTTTTTTTGTCTCCTTGATACTCTCCCCGGTAATCAAAACTCTATTTTATTCCATAAACCGCTCTCCATGTCTGTCTGCTTTGTCACATATTTTCGTTTAGATAAATCGAACATACATTTTTTTGAATAGAAAAAAATAAAGAAAAATAAAAACTACAATTCGTCCTATTTTTGGTTTTGAATATGTGTAGTTTGTACAATTTTGAATCGAAAAATATCTTGTGATATTAGTCTAGTTTGATTTTTAGGCGCGTTCAAAGGCTCCCAAAAACTTAATGGTCTGCGAAGATGAGGTCTGCTAGCAAAAGGCTTAAAGAAGCAATAATTTTTCATATAGAGTATCGTTCAATAAGATATGAAACAACGTGTTTTTCATTTGATTTTAGGTCATTCAGAAAGTTTTCAGGAGCCTGGAGCTGGGCTATCAGTTTTCCGAGCAATGTGAAAACTTTGGAGGGCGTAAAGCAGGCCTAGATTAAACTTTGCATTTTCAAAATTCTACTTTATCAGCTGTTAGCTGATTTTTGAGAGAAACCCTTTTTTGACCCGTTTATGTTCTGGAAACATGAAAAAACAAGGGTTTTAAAAAAAATGGGCAAATAAAAATGGGCAATATAAGAATTTTCGAAAAGTTCTATGATAGCAAAAACCCTAATCTACGCCTGTTTTACACAATCTTAATTAATCAAAGTTATCGGTAACTTAACAGCCGAGTTTCAGACTTTGGAAAAAATTGAAACTGGCCAGAAAATCCATTGAAAAATGCATTTCTGTTGAATTTATTGAACGGTTTAAGCGGTACTGTCTGCTTTCAACTATTTTCTTCGGTTTTTCTACAAATTGTATTGATTTTGAATGTTTTTTGAAACGAAAATTTGAAAAATCGCGAAAAATTACATTAAACAATGAAAATTCATGAAAAGTCACCGAAAAATCGCCAAAAATCAGAAAAAAACAGGCCAGAAAAAAATTCTAAAAACTATAAAAAACATATTCCTCTAAGGATTTTTCAACCGTACCTAAACTTTGCCCACTCTTGAATTTGAATTCAGAACAGCGTAACAGTTCACGAAGAAACAAAAATTGACCTGAAAAACACCTGTAAAACGGCAAAAAACATCAAGGACCCTATAAACCCCTTTTTCCCGCGGACCATATTATTGGTCTTATTGTTTGGTTGACCTACATTACTACACACACGTACTATCGCCCCTTCTATATGTCTAGCGGACCACGCAACACACACAGGGCAACCGGGGAAGTGTCGTAAACTGTGGCGTTTGCGGACCGCGGAGTGTATGTGCATAATGTGTGCGCGTGCACACGCCGGACCCTCTGGTCATAATTTATTGTTTTTTTCACTTTTTCCTCTCTCCTCTTGCCCTGTCAAACCACATTTTTTGATGGAAATCCCATCGAAAACTGTACAAAAGGCTTTTTTCAACAAAAACGCATTATTTTGATTGTTTTCGATAGTCGCAGCGACCGCAGTTAATGTCTTGTTGTCTGTCTTACTCTCTTGGCAGAGGCGATGGGCCAGTCGCAAGTTTTTCTTTTGCTAAAACGTGAAAAACAATCTTCCGCTTCAACAGTACGATTTAATCAATCGATCGCCTGTTTTTTTTTCGTTGAAAAAAAAGTAAGAAGACCACAATTTGAGTTGATTATTTCCAGCGATTAGATTTTTTCTTATCAACGTTAGTAGTATCGGTTTTTGTCTGCCCCGGCAACAACCATCGCTCTTATTTTTAGTTTTCGTCTCTACAATGCTTTTGACCCTTCATCATATAAATTATAATAATTTTCCCTTGAAATCCCCTCGGAGCGCTCTTGCACTTTCTCTGCGTCTCTCAGTGCTCTAATCCACGTGTTATTTCCTTCCCGTTGCCTTGCCAACAAGCTTTTCTTCCTAAAAACTTCAAAAATCTATATTTCAGCCAAAAAATGCCGGTGCGTGCAGATGCAAGCTCCGGAATGGTGCTTCTTACCGGAAACTCACATCCGGAGTTGGCCAAAATGGTGTCGGAACGACTCGAGATTCGTCTTGGAGAGGCCACGGTCTACAATAAGACTAACAGAGGTTAGATTTTGATCATAAAACTTCAAAACTAAAATGTTCTCCCTCAGAAACTTCCGTCGACATCAAGCAGTCTGTCCGTGGCAAACATGTATTCATTCTTCAAAGCGGGTCAAAGTGTGTTTTCTTTATCAAATCACACAAATCAGTCGATTGCTATCTCAGTAGCGCTGATAAATCATTTGTCGACAAATATGGAAAACTTTACTTTTTTTCAGGAACGTCAACAACGACGTCATGGAGCTTCTCGTGCTCATTTATGCTTGCAAGACCTCCATGTCGAAGACTATTACCGTCATCATGCCCTACTTGCCGTACTCCAAACAGTGCAGAATGCTTCGCCGCTCGTCTATCGCGATGAAACTTGTCGCTGAGATGATCTGCAAAGCTGGTAAGGAGTGGTCATGGGTTCTGGTCGACGAAGTGAATTGGGGAGTTCGGAATTATGAAAATCCTTCATGATGGGTGGTATATTTCAAGGTGTCACTTGTGGCAAGGCTAACGAAATTGAAGCCTCAGTTAGACGAGACTCAAGCCATAGGGAGACTTCGTGGACTAATTAGGATGTCCTATAAAAGCCCACATAGGCTACAAAGTTGGCGTAACATACTTGTTGCAAAAGCAACCTAACCAGATTTCCACGACTCAGAGTTTAAAAAAAACAAAGGTCTACTCGCTCCGCGTGGAAGATTTCAAATCAAAACTTGCCGATTAAAACCATCGACGTCTGATGCAGACATGCTTGTTCCACGGAGCTCAGATTAAACTTCTGAGCTTGCAAATGCTCTATCCCTTGCATATACTCGTACTATCTTAAATTCGTCTTATATAGTATCTGTGACTAGGTGTAATACCTAATCTATTCTAGAATTCGCAGAAGATTTTATTGGAGAAGAGTTTGTAGTCTGACTGCCGACGGATCTGCTTCATCTAGTGACATAAGAAATTATTCTTCATCTACCGTAACCCGACGAATTTACCCAGAGATGCTTCGAGATGCGCTCGTAATTTTCGCACTGAATTCTTGAATAGAATGACTTGGTGAAGTTGATGTCTACCATATGGAAGCTGGTTCAACAGGTGGTTTTGATTTCAGTCGATGGATGCTCTTCTTCTAGTTAAAATTGACTCCTTGACTTCTGTTGTCACTGAAGTTCTGCCTTAATATTAAAAGACCATCTTACGATCTCGTAGCTACACTTTTCAAACATTGCTCGTCTATTTTCTTAAACTTCTGCAACCAACATATCCTTCCTATCTTTTCACTAAACTTCCAAGATGTCCTCTGTGAAACATGATTCATCTTAAGTGCAGACTTTTGGTGTGTCACGGATACTCTTTTTTCATTTTGACGTCGTAAAAGCTTTTGCCAGCCAAAAAAAAACTCTTCTCCGCAAAACGCTTGAGCAAATACGACGTCAATGAGCCGTGCTGTGTCTGTTTTGGGTTTGGAGCCAAAACTAGGAAATTTGGGGGACTGAAAACAAAAAAATCTGTAGTACCGGTAATTAGTCTGGCTTCTGTAGATAAAGAAGCAGAAAAAACAATAACAATAATAATGTGTTTTGATTTCAGGTGCCAGCCGCTTGGTGTCGTTGGATTTGTACAAAAAGGAGATTCAGGGATTCTTCTCGTGCCCAGTGGACAATCTCCGTGCCTCGCCATTCTTCCTTCAACACATCAAGACAAATGTAAAGACGTACAGTAATCTTGATTTCATAATCGCAATATAATTCCAGATCCCGGATTACAAGAATGCCATCATCGTCGCCAAGTCTCCAGGAGTCATGAACAAAGCCACGTCCTACGCGGATCGCCTTCGCCTTGGTAAAAACCCCTTCCCAAGTTTTTTTTCTTAGATTAGTTTTATTCAATATCTCCCGTATAGCTCAATCATCTCTTTGCAGGATGTGAGTTATAAAATTAAGAGAGTGAGAGTCTTGACATCCCCTTTCCCATCCCGTCCACACACTGGTTTGGGCGAGTTTACAGACAACAAATCCATTTTTGAGTCGTAACCACACACCCAAACACACACACACACACACACACACACACACACACACACACACACACACACACACACACACACACACACACACACACACACACACACACACACACACACACACACACACACACACACACACACACACACACACACACACACACACATATATATATATATATTGAACGATTTTGAACTATGTTTATCAGTTTCTCTTTTTAATTTCAGTAGCTGACTCTTAATTAATAATACGTGTTGAATGTTGTCTGGGACGACTCACACTCGCACTTTTCTCTCTTCTAATTTAATTTTTTCTACTTCTTTTCCGTCTTCTGAAACCCAACAACTTCTATTGCGCTCTCTTTATTCGCTAGTTCCCCTTTCCTGTCTTGTCTCGTTTGTCCATACATATTCACACTGAAAAAGAGCATAAGCATACCATTTATGTCTGTTGGGCGGCTTTTTCTGTTGAAACTGATTCGGGTGATTCAGGTGTGGCTGTGATTCACGGAGAGCAAAAGGACGAGGAGGAGTCAGGTCTTGAGGATGGACGACAATCGCCACCACCGAATGTCACTTCGTACGATTTCTTGCCAGCTCAGGAGTCGAAGCAGAAGCCACCACTCACGGTGGTCGGTGATGTTGGAGGACGTATTGCTATCATGGTGGTGAGTATTTCAGTTTAGAACGAAATTTCGAAGAATTGTGCAGCCACGGTGGGTAGATTGCCGTGGACTCATCAGTCCGTTCTTTTGAACATACGCTCAGCAACCCAGAAAGCACTAGGGAAAGCACTAGAAAGTACGAGGTCAGAAAGCACTAGGTCGACGTACCCTGCCCATGAGTATCATCTGCCGTAACCCATGGATACAATAATCAAAACCTATGAATACAATAATCATGCGGCCGTCAGCCTTGCTTCTAAGAACCCTAGGTGCTTTTAAAAAAATTGACCCCTAGATTGCGAACGCAACTTACACTTGCAATCCAAAGATTTCCATGATCCTTGGAGAAGAATGTACCCAATTTTTGTTAAGACTCTCCAAAAAACATTTGAATGGATGGATGTCTCTAAATAAGATCTGAATCTCTGAATGGGCCTCTGAATAGCCTTTTAACGTTTTCCGGAAGTACCTTAGAGCATTATAATGGTGAGGACATTTATAAAATCCTATCGAAATCTTAAAAATATATACTGGCTGTCTGTATTAGAAAAGCACCCGTATTTTGGGAATTTGAAATAGTTTCATGAGTTTCCTTGGAGCGTCGTTATTTCCTTTATTGGAAGCTCACCCAAACAATCAACTTTGAGCTCAAATATTTTGGTTCCTATGAAAGATATCAAACATTTGTCAATTGATAAAATATTGGTGGATTTAGGATGAATAATTCATTTGTTGACAAGTTGTTGATATCTTTTTTAAGAACAAAGATAATTGAGCTCAAAATTGAGTTTGGGTGGGCTTTTATTAGTAAATGCCTGCCTCTCTGACAAAAAGTTCATTACGAGTTCAAAATGGCTATGCCTTCAGATTCTTGCCGATCTTATTAATCAATTTTTTCAGGATGACATTATTGATGACGCCCAATCCTTCGTTGCTGCCGCTGAAGTGCTCAAGGCTCGCGGAGCCTACAAAATCTATGTGATTGCAACCCACGGAGTTCTCTCATCCGATGCCCCCGCTCTTCTCGAAGCCTCCCCGATCACAGAGGTGAGTCTTTTATTTTGGATTTTTGATATATGGTTTGGGGTCCGCCGAGCAGTTGTTCCTAGTTTCTCCCCCGAAACGATTCGGAAACGAAAGCCAACATTGTTCCAGGTCATCGTGACCAACACCGTGCCACACGACCTCCAAAAGATGAGATGCCACAAGATCAAGACCGTCGATGTCTCGCTGATGATCTGCGAAGCCATCCGTCGCATCTTCCACAATGAGTCGATGGGACAACTCTTCCGTGACGTCACCCTTGATGACTAATATCTGTTTTTGATTGTATTTAAAGGCCCCAATCTCTCTCTCTCTCTCTCACTCAGCTTCACTTTGTCTATTCCAAACATATACTTTTTTGAGCCGATGCGTTCAGTAGAAGTAGTATTATTGATCCAAAAATCAAATCATCCCGCCCCACCAACATTTCTTGTGCCAAAAAAAGTATTTTTTGTGCATACAAAAAACTTGAATGAATTAAAACTGGAAAAGAAGAGTACTGATGGAGAAAAACCATTTATTCAGGACTCATTAGATCAGGAGAAATCTGGCGATTTGGTTCAATCCGGAAACGGCGATTCGGAGAGGGAGAAGGAACAGATGAGCCAGCCTGGAATTGAAAACTTTTGAATTTTTTAGATTCTCAGATAAGACTGACACGTGAAAAAATATTTCTGCACACTTTGGGTAATTCACGGCGAGTCTGACTTGAAATGGCCCAAGTCGGGTCATTTTCCGGTTCGGGAAAACTGTATATGTGTTCATACATGTTGAGTGTTCTGGAACAAAAGACTCATGAGCAGATATTTAAGAAAAGCTCACTTCCGGTATCATTGGATGGATTGGTACTGTATTTTAGACAAAATTCTTGAATTGCTCTGACAATGTAGTCACGCTCTCCATTTTGGTCTGAAAACTTCGATTTATCACACAATAACTGTGTTTTCAAGACAAACATCGAATCCGATCATTGTTAAACATTTGGAGATGTTGAATCCACCACGCGATCTATTCTGACACGCCTGTTAGTTGATAACAGGGCTCGACGAGAACTTCAATGTGTTAAAAAAACAACTACAGAACATTTATCAAACAATTTGGTATAAAAAACAATAGGATTAGCAAGAAGAAAATTTGCAATAAATTGCATCATTAAACCAACTATTTAAACGAACCGCCGCGTTATATAACGGTTGGATCACATTGGTCGTATACCGGAAAACATTTAAGGTTTTAAAAAGTTTAAAATTGAAACACTAACCCGAAATTTGATTGTGCGAGGCACTCCTTGAAGATGTAATCCGACTCTTGTGTTGTTAATAATGAAGACCTGTTTTGAATGAGATCATACTGTTGATCGTGAGCTTTACAGCAACTGTTTATATCTGAAACATGATTTCTTTGAACATGAAGCCAGAAAAAAAATAACTTACAATCCCTATCCGTAGCTGGCAAGCTCAGGATATAAGCGACGGCCGTCGAGAAGCGGCCACTACCACACTGCCACTCGGCCGCAATGGCACAGTGGGTCAATAGCAGCAGTACACAGATTTTCATCCTAAAAATCCAATTCGATGAAGTCTAGTTATAACGAAAAAGTATGAAAAAAATTAATAAGAAGAAGATGTTCGGGAAGAGCAACAATATTTTATCAGGCGGTGAAAAAAAATAGGACGGGCTAATTTTAAAACCATCCCTTCTTGACATGCACCCATTAATCACACAGCGGAAGATCCTCGAAAATGAAACATAGATAAGGAAAAACGGCGAGAGTTCAGATTCTCTTCGTAAAGTAGTTCTTTTTCCTCATCTTCCAGGTGTAAAAATGTATGAGTGTGTCATTGAATTGCCACCACCAACCCCCACCCCGCCAATTCATAAAACACATCGTAAAAGTTACTGGAAGAGGGATTTTTTGTATTTTGCAGAACAAAAAAAACTGAATTGGGGGGAATACAAAGTTTGAAAATGATTTGGAAATTAAAACAAAAAATGTGATGGTTGAAAAAAAAACTGAGACAAAACTTGGGACTTTTTTGTGATTTAATGTCACATGTGTGTCAGTGACCAATGACAAAGTTCAAATGGAGTACAAAAGTGCGGAAAATTGTTTATTAGAAGGATGAATCATCGAAAATGTTTATTTTCAGCAAGGATTTCTTGTGGCTCTTTTCCACCAGGAATTCACATTGATTGCGGCACTGTAGAGAGGTTTCACCACGTAACGGACCCACCTGAAAAAATTGTATTAGAATGAAATAACGGCAAATTTTGATTTACATTATAAGTTAATAAGAAACACAGAAACATACTTTTGAGTAGATTTTTAGGAATTTTGACCACTATAGTAGTGGGGAGGTGGCTGACAACTTTCAGATTATTTCAATAATGTGAGACGGTAGAAAATAGACTTAGATTGTAAGATTTGTATTATCAGAATTTTCTGAAAATTCCTAGATTTTGGGGTACAAAGTGATTTAGGGGTACAAAACCCACAATTTAGGGGTACAAACTAAGCCTTTTTTCCGGAATTTTGTACCCCCCAATTGAGGATTTTGTACCCCTGAATTGCTCTGTACCCCTTTGTACCCCCGAATTGTTGTACACTCCGAATTAGTTGCCAATGCAAAGTTTTCAAAGTGATCGGAAACTTGACAGCCGAACTCTGTACTCCGGAAAATGATTAAAATGGTCAACATTAAACTGAAAAATACGCTTTTCTGTATCCTATTGACCGATATTTTATTTTACCTGCTATTAATATTGTCCAAACATCTATTGAACAAAAAATCCGCAGTTTGAAGACTGATCGATCCAACACCGGCACAGAAGTTGTCATAATTCTTGTCATGGATTTCACAACATCTGTTTACACCTGAATCAGGTCCTAATGCTCTAGAAATAAACCAATTAACCTACTGTTGGTGTCAGACGGAGCGGCTATTAACCAGGCAAGACCTTCTGTGAATTTGCCTTCTCCACAACTCCAACTATTGACCGGAATGCCAAAAATGAATATAAAAAGAAAAATTCTCATCTTTCAAGGTTTTCAATATATGAGAATGTTCTTTATGAAGGAATTTTGCAAAAAAAAAGTTTAAAAAAAATCTGCAACATAAAAGATATGATAAGAAGATCAAACCGATCAAAGTTTATTGTGTTGTGTTTCATTTGATAAATTCAATTGAACAATATTTGAATTAAAAACATAAAACAACAAATCGTAAACCACAAAAATACTGAAAGTATGTTGAGCATCGTTGGGTCAAACCGTGCCAAACGGTTAACATTCTCACTGCAAATCAACATTTTCAACCTTCAATTAAAAAAAAATAAATTTACCAGCTATCAGAGTTGTTCAAGCAGTCACAGGAAATATTGTCAGCTTCTCGTTTCTCCTAGTATCCACACCTTTTATAAAGTCTAACATGGACCTTGCAGCACCTATTGACATCTGAAAGCTTACCGTAAAACCTCTAATAGAACGACACCCAGATCATCCACTTTGAGCCTATATATCTCACTTCATTTGAAAGATATCAAAAAGTGGTTAACTAGTAAAATGTTTATCAGGATATCAGCAACATTTTACTAGTTAGCCACTTTTTGATATCTTTTGCAGAAAATGAGATATATAGGCTCAAAGTGGACGATCCGGGTGTCGTTCTATTAGAGGTTTTACGGTATATCTATCATAGGAGCCAAGAAAATCGACTCGAACTTGAAAGCTGGAGTGCCCTTTTATTACAGGCTTTAAGGGTTTTGAGCGTGCAATCTCAAGGGATCCGACAGTAAAAGCTGGAAGTGCGATTCTAGTTCGGGAAGTCAAATAAAGAGTGATTGAAAACTTCAATAGTCGGATCAGAAACAGAAAGCGCTAGTGAATCACAGATTACTAAATAGCCCCAGAGATTTGGAAACCACCTGGAAAATAATCTCACAATCAGTCATGTCAGGAAACTCCCTTCTCGTCGTTTTGTATTTTGCCGCCATTCTCTCTGTTCCTGAAGACTTATTTGTTTTTCTGAGCATCCCACCTCAACAAAATCCGTCGGCGTTTTTTTTTATTCTCTCATTCCTTCTGACCGATACAAATCTTATTTCGCAGCAAAAAAGGTTATCTGATTTGTTGAAGATTTTCTATTTAGCGTACTCATTGTTCCGCTAGCCATGACGTATAGGCTTCTGTTGATTTTTTTATTTCAGCTATTGACGTATTTTTTCATGCTTCGCGCTAATTGAACTGGTATTTATCAGTTTAGCCTTGTGGAGGACTACATGGAGACCACCACTGAAAAACCCAAAGCTATCACTGGAAAACCCAAAGGAGGATTTATGAGAAATTTGGTAAGTGAGTAAAGTGAAAGTCGTAAACAACCAAAGCTTTCAGATTTTATCTGAAAATTGTGAAAAGTGGATTCGGAATACTATCCCGGTACTAATACCAGCGCTACATTAGTGGAACTTCAAGAAAATATGTGTGATAATATGGGTTATAATAAACCGAAAAAAGTAAATTTCGAGCACTGAATTCAACATCCTTCATCTAATATTTTTACAGATAGCTGTAGATTCGAATCAGTCACTGAAATTGAATACTGAAAAATTCGAAATTGTTCAATTCAAAAACACAACTGAAAAGGATTATCTAGAGTTTAACTCTAGCTCCAATTCTAAACTGATAATACCAAAGTGAGATTTCCAAAATGTTCTCCTCTAACATAATCCAAAGTTTTCAGAAGCTTCAGGACAATGGGGAAAAATGACAACACAACGCGTTTCTTTTTTTTCTAAAATCTCACGTTTACTGGGGCGCGATTTCAGACCCGTCGCCTCGGACCCAAGTGCGTTGATCAAACATTTCTTTTTAACAAAACAAAAATACCTATATTACACCTATATTATTGTAATACCTATATTATTGTATATAGTTTTATCTTCCTTTCAGTTAGAGAGGGATCTTCTATTTTTCGTGGGGTCTCTAGGGGAGCACTTCACGTGAGGGGCCCTTGTGGTATTAGGAGCCAGGCGTTCAGAGCTCTTGATCACTTTTAGATTTGGTTTCAAACCCTATCATAAACCTTTATTCCTCTTGAAACTAGTGTCTCGGATCCCCCGGTTCACTATTTAATTATCTAGTTCCCCCATAACTTCCGTTATACTCGTATTACACAATTTGATGATATCTGTCACTTGTCCATCATTCTTAATTACTTTTTTCTGCGTCTCGTTAGCAACAAAAGTACCCATATCAAATCCGTTAAAGATAGGTTTGTTGAAAACAAAACTATTCCCAAGAACAGGTTTTATCTTTTTTTGGACAATTTTCAAAAACCAAACTCGAAGAAACAAAAGAAATCACGCCATGCATCCGAGTAAAGACCGAATTTGAGGCATATAGTTTGAACTATCCGAATTCTTATTGATGTATTAAAATACAAGAAAATGATATGTACAGGAAAACAACTACTCGGTCTCTACTGTTCAGGATCATTAGTTGGTAATGCGGTTCTTCCATTTTTCTGTCTTTCCGGCATTGTTTCAGGCAATGGTTTTCCTTTGGTTTCTGGTAGTTGAATTTGGAACGCAATCGCATCGAATAAGCACATTCCGGTCAGAACTGCATACGGCAGACTTTTGTACGGGCACTAAAAGTATTTGTTAGTTATTTAGATCGTCAAAAAAGCTGCTACCAAAATGAACAGTTGTGGTCCTAGAATCGTTCCAATTCGACTTGCAGTGGATTTGAAAGATACTGCAGTATTGCGGACAACTGTTGGATAGAACTCCATAAGAACCATTGATTTAGTGATGAATACTTGAGAAGCTGTGGCTGTTGCAACTAGCGTGGCAACTCGGATGATCATAGAGTACTCTTCGTCTTTTTCTGAAAAACAAAAAAAGTTTCAAACTGGAATCAATGTTCTACTCACCCAAATAATACGTCATGAATATGGAAAACACACAAAGTGAAATTGTGAGTTTTGAGATCAAATGAATATGTTTTCTTCCCAATGACTTAAATTTCAAGTCAGCCAAACCGAATACAATATTGAGCAGCCAACGGAGCGATCCCATGAGCAATGCATTTATATACAAAGAACCGGATAGCTTTTCGATATTGAATACGAATCCATAGTTTGTGAATGATGTGGAAAACATTCCTAACCACATAATCATTGTGACAGATGCCATATATTTGTTCCAGAATAAGTGGCGGAAGTCGTAGTTTTTCCGTTTCTCGGTTTGTTCCTCTTGTCTTTTTCGTTCCGTCCGTAACATCTCCTCAATTTCCGACCAAGAATGTTCACATTTGTTTCCATCAACATCCATTATTCTTTTCAGAACTCCACGAGCCTCCTCAATTCTACCGGCTTGAATCAACCATCGCGGCGATTCTTGAACGAATAAGAAAACTATCGCTCCAGGCATAGATAGTGCAAAAATAGCATATTGATAAGTGACCCAGTCAGGACATAGATATGCCACTAAACTCAAGAGCATGTAGTTTGGTGCCCAACTGATCATGGTTGCTATCCAAAAACGATGCTGGCGTGGCACATGCTCCATTTTGTAGACTCCATATGTGCTGAGTAATCCTCCTTTGAACACGGATAGGAGAGTTCGAACAATGGTGAAGTAGATGAGGTCCTTGGCAAATGTGTTGACTATGCTGAGCGATGAAACCATGAAGAAGCAAACTGAGAGAACCTGGAAAATGGGTTGGAATCGCTTGTATTATTTGTAGTACCAATCAATGAGATGTTCAATTAAGTATTTTTCAGTTGATTTTCGCCCGCTTTGACCATTTTCAGGAGTGTGGAGTTCGGCTGTAAAGTTTCCAATCACTTTTAAGTTTTTGGAGAGTGTAAAAAAGACCTGAATAGATTGAAAACTTCGAATTCACAGAGTGTTTTGAAAATTCCTAGTTTTTCAGATATTGGTCGATTTCTGAAAAACACCAGATTTTTCACGTTTTCAGTACAAAAACGGGCCAAAAAGTTTATCCTTCAGAAATCGGCGAACAGCTGAAAAACTAGGAATTTCCAGTCTCTTGAACATGGTTAAAATCAACTGAAACATTGGTTTTTTGTATATCGAATTGACCGATACTGTACGTCCGAGTGGATCCCTTCATCATTCAAAACCAGCAAGTCTCCAACTTTTTTCTGCACCTCGTTACTCTATTTTACGTTTTCCAAACTACTTGACAACGCCCTTATGGAGAAGAAATTGTTAAAAGTCATGTAACATCTCGGAACTTTCTTCCTTTTCTTTTTCCATTCATTCACCAACGCCCACCTTCAACCGTCCGTATCGGTCTGCAAGAGCGCCCGATGTAACTGATCCTATCAAGACTCCAACCATTTGTACAGAAATACTGGTTTTCACCCAGGCACCTTCTCCGCAAAAATGACCAAACTGAAAGAAAGAAAAATTAAAATTCTGACATTCTGACAATTCAATCCTTACATCCACATTAATGGAATAGAAATCATACTTTGATGTGATTGTACAATTTGGAGGATTATGAAAATCATAACTGGATGAGCAAATGTCTTTGATGAAGATATCCGGACCTTCGCAGCTCACTTGTTTCGGATATGCACCTGCAAAATTCAATAGATCTTCTAGGACATTTGAGCCGAGCAACCAACCAGCATACATCATATAAAGTGTGTTTCCTGCTCCAGAAAGGAGCATAAACTCGGAAAAAAGCAGAATAAGCCAGCAGTATTTTCCAAGTTTCATAAAATTGTCCAGTGTTTTTTCCTCTTTCGGCGGCAAAAGCTGAACCTCATTTTCCTGGTTCGGTCCCAGTGACAAGGTGGCAGTAGATGCCATCCTGAAAATTTAATCTCATCAGATCATTAATTATTTTTTCGAAATCTTTCAAGTTGTCACAATATTTCTCACACCTAACGAGTAATCATTATTATCACGAAAAGGAACGAAACAACTTGCCGAGATGGACGATTGAATGTTTGGTCAACGCTCTAGAGATAACAGTACCAAAAAGAGAAAAGGTGTGAAATAAATATAGGGATACCTTGTTTTAACCATGAGATCGAAAGAACTGTTTTCCCTCGTGGGTCACATCTAGACAGTGATAAATGCACCTGATCTATAGCATAATGGTCACAAAATGGACTTGGGTAGGTTCAACAAATGAAGAAAGATTGATTTGAAACAAAAAGTTCCAGAATGGGTTTCCCAGGAAAAATTTAGAAAAAGTTCTACCAATGGGAGAAAGAACAAAAAGAAACAAGTGATGTGAATGGCAGCAAAAACTACCTTGGTGGAAGATTTGAATAAATAATAACCGTGTCTCTTCTATCCCTTTTGTTCGTTTTTGGACGTAAACTATGTGCATACATACACACCAGTTTCAATTGGAAACACGGGTATGAATGAATGAAGGCAAAGCACAAAATGGTGTGTTTTTTATTGAAGATGTGAGGTTTAAATATAACTTTTGCTGACAGAAATCATGAAAGATAACAGGCTAATTGATTAGGTCGACATTTGGAGTTTTAAACAATTTTAAGTTCAACGTTCTAGCTGAAATTCAACAATTAGTTTGAAGAAGCTCAAATATACCGTATTCACGGTATTTCAAAGCAACGGGTCGAAAATCGCGCCCCAGAAAACGTTTAGGCCTGACGAAATTTAATAATTTCAAAGTTGACGTGGTTTGACCTAATTAATTTCAATCAACGCAAAGTTTGATCTTCAGCCAACGAAATTTTTACGTTGCGCAGTGATTTTTCACGTTCACTGGGGCGCGTTTTCCGACCAGCTTGTTTGAAATAGTATGCGTATTTTCACTAAAAGGAGCCCACCTTGAACGTGCACTTTGAGTATAATTCTCTCGGTTGCTATGAGAGATATAAAAAATTTATCAACTGAACAAATGTTTATCATAATATCACCAATATCAGTTTACAGATTTTGGAAATTATCTTTTATAGGAACCAAGATGATTGAGTTTGAAACACGTGAAAAGTGGCTTCTATTAGAGACATGGTAAAATAAGGAAGGTAAGATATGGAAGATACAAAAATTTTGAAGTACATTTTCTGTTTCTGGTATGATTCTCCAAGTTATCTTATGAGAGACCATAATCAAATCTTAAATCTGAAACTTTAATGAAGCAAAACTTTGACTTATAACATTGCTTGATCTGTCTATTTCAGACGACATCAAGTGTGAGAATTTTGAAATTATCTTCAAATTAAATTTGAGGTCGAAAATGAACGTGGGATTGTTTTCGATTTCTTGCTCTTCCAAGCGAACATGGGGCGTCTTTTGGGTGCCTAATGAACTCCTTTTGGGTGAATTCAGAGCGCCACAGTCTTTTGAGCGATTTTGATGTCTTTAGGGAGAAATGCAAGCGTTTGATTTCAGTTCTCTAAAAATGAAGTCTCTGAAAATGATCATTCCTGTGCGAGTCCTTATGAAATGATCATTTCAGGACATCCTCTCCCTGATTTTCACTTCACACCCGGATAATCTTTCTTCACACCGCAATTTGAACACTTTCAAAGCTCAATGATTTATTTACACTGGTATTTTTCACAGAAAAAGAAACAACAGCATGTACAACATAAATGACAGTGATCAGGATTGCATCAATACATTAAGAGCTAAACGAGATACCCGTAGCGTTTGTCACCGATTCGTCAAAAAACGAAACGATGAAAAAATAGAGATCTTGAGAGGTTGACCCAATATGGGAGAGTTATTATTAGCGTCAGCCACGCACTACAACGATATTGTTGTTGGACTCAAAAGAAGACGTCGGAAGTGAGGTTCAGAATCCACCACGTCTCCTGTCATCGATGACTTTGGTGTAATTGATATTTTCGAAAATGTAGAAAATATCGCCATCAGTTTTGTCACTATCATCGTCGCGAAGCAGCAAGTGTTCACGGAGTATAGAGAAGTCGGAGTGATTGTCAATGATTTCTGAAAATGTGAGAGGTAATTATTAGTCAACGGATAGAGGATAGCTTACCAAATGGTTGTGCAACTAGAGGTGCTGAAGAAACTGTAAGTACAGTAACAATAACCAGGAAAAGAATCGTGGTGAAGTTGATGGAAGACATGATTTGGGGTTGTGTTGTGAGGAAGGAATGAAGACAAATGTAGGACTGATTCGGTCGACTTTCAAAATATATTCGAAGAGGCGGTGCTTTTGTTTCTCTCTCGTTTTCGTTTAATGATAGAGAGAGAGAGAAAAGATCAGAAGAAGTAGAGAAAAAGAGAGTAATTGATAGTCTTCTTTTTCGTCTTTTCTTCTCTCTCTGGCTTTCGAAAACGATGCTATTTTGGGCGAACATGTATGTGTACAGAATCTCAGTTTCTATAGTCTTGACAGTTGCATAATTGATAGAGTGACGAGAAAGACGGATGTGAGGACTACTGTACCCCAGAAATACCACAATTCTGCATATAAATCACATCATATCTGATGAAATGCGGTTATTCTTGGCATTCTTCAGAAGTCACATGTCCAACTTTTCTTTTCGGCAATGAACCTCATCGGGAACACGCACACAACACAAAAATAAACTGCTACCGTAGTCTTATTAAACACATCAAACACCATCATCCTTAATCATTTGCTTCCCCTATCTTTATTTCCTATCCAATACATTCTTCAAAGATACAGGTACCGATGGTGTTTCTGCAAAAACGATGTCTTCTGTGTTATGGGGAGGAAGAGGAATGTTCTTTAAAAGTGACAGCCAATTGACAACGGTCATTAATCTTTTCAACCTCTCTCTATACCCTTTCGACACAGGATAATGTCGGTGTCTTTTAGAAACTTTGCAAGAGAAGAATCAGAGTTTGTTCAGTACTTTGTGATTACAATACAGCTTTGATTTCAATAGTAGGACAGCGAATGGACAAAGAAGAATTGTTCCTTTTAATCGAAGAATCAAAAGGTGCGAAGGAAAATGAAAACTGACAGAAGAGATAAAGTGGGCAAGTGATTGGGGATGAATGATTTTGGAGACAATCAGTTTCAGAATTCGTAATTCGAACTGGAATACGAACAATGGGACTGAAGTTCAAATGTGGCGTTGATGTCATGCAACCGAAAACTGCTGAAATTTAGAGAATATTTTAGAATCTTCATTTTGAACGTCCTCAGGAATCACATTAGGGATTTATTATTATTGTTATAATTTTTGAAGATTGGGACAATTTGGGACATGATCAGAATTTCTGAGTGATACTGTAACTCTGACTAAATAGAAAAATTGGAAAATTTCACCCCTCGGGGAATTTCGTGCGAAATTTGGGCATATATTATCAGTGCATTGGGCAATCGGCTCAGCGGGGGAGAAGAGTGTGGCCAGGTCTGGGCAAGATTTGCGGCAAGCTTGCGGCACGACTTGGGCATGCTTTGGGAAATGTCTTGAGCTAGTTTATGGCATTGCAGATTGCCCAATTTTCTGGCGTTTTGCCTACCAAATGGGCACCCAAATTTTCCTGACTGAGAGACTTCTCATGTATGAACTTCATATTCGGTACCTCTCAAAATTTCCGAGCGCCCTAATTTTCAGAACAAGTCTTTCCAGAACCTTTATCTTCGGGATCATCAATCCAAATGTGCATTATTTGCAGAGCTTATTAATCAAATGACGAAATTAACAACTTTCTTATCTTTTCCTTATCACCTTTATTGCTCTTTCTCCTCTCCCCTCCTGCTCTTTTTCCGGGTTCTTTCTGATCAAATTCGCAATTTCTTAACCATGCTTCTCATAATATTCCTCTCATTACTACCCTTCTCTTTATCCATTCCTACTCTCCATCCATCTGTTTCTTATCGTTCTAAAGTTTCGGAGAATGCTCGTAAACTATCTGGCGTCGATCTCACAACATTCGTCAACAAACAACAAAAACTGTGGAAAGCGGAAACTTCCCGTATGACTTTTCAAGATAAGATGGTACAGTTTTATGGTGATTGGACGAGTGTATTTTCGTATTCTGATCCGTTTTAGGCGCGTGTCAAAAACATAAAGTTCGTCAGGTCTCATGAAGATCAAGAGACTGAAAACTCTGCGGAGGTCCTCATCAACATTCCAGCGAGTTTCGATTCAAGACAACAATGGCCAGAGTGTACTCAAATTGGAGCCGTTCGTGATCAATCTGATTGTGGTAAGAGGAGTTTTGATATGTAACTTGTTATTGTACATCTATTCCTTTTTGATGTATTTTTCTTCTCGCCGAAAAATGAGAGATGGACACTGACGGAGGGTGACGTGATTCGGAGAAAAAAAAAACCATCCCCCAAAAAAAAGATAGAAATCGAGGGAAAGAGTGATAGCGATCTATCATTTTTGTGTCTATTTTTTGTCAATTGCGACACGAAAACTGTTTAATTTAGCGATGGTATCAAAACATAGAACATTATTATTGTGGGAAATGACTCAGAAATTGACCGCAAAAAGGCTAAAAACGTGATGAGATGCCGTACAAGGAACCATTATTTTTGGGTTCGTGTTCCGTCTGGCAATGTGACACAGTACACCCATGTGAGATCAGAAAATAAGATGGAAGATCATACTTTTTCAGGTTCTGCCGCTCATCTGGTAGCCGTTGAAATGGCTTCTGATAGAACGTGCATTTCCTCCAATGGGACCTTCAACTGGCCACTATCGGCACAGGATCCATTGTCGTGTTGTGTTGGACTGATGTCCATTTGTGGAGATGGATGGGGGTAAACTGACAAATTCATAATTACAGACTAACATTTAAATTCCAGTTGTGACGGTAGTTGGCCAAAGGACATTTTGAAATGGTGGCAAACTCACGGACTCTGTACTGGAGGAAACTATGATGATCAGTTTGGATGCAAGCCATATTCAATCTACCCATGTGATAAGAACTATCCAAATGGAACAACGTCCGTACCATGCCCCGGATACCATACTCCACCTTGTGAGGACCATTGTACTTCTAATATCACCTGGCCGATCGCGTACAAACAAGACAAACATTTTGGAAAGGCTCATTATAATGTGGGCAAGAAAATGACCGATATCCAGACAGAAATCATGACGAATGGGCCAGTTATCGCTTCTTTCATTATTTACGAAGACTTCTGGGACTACAAATCAGGCATCTATGTTCATACCGCAGGAGATCAAGAAGGTGGAATGGATACAAAAATCATTGGATGGGGAGTGGATAATGGAGTTCCATATTGGCTCTGTGTTCATCAGTGGGGTACCGATTTTGGAGAAAATGGATTTGTGAGAATCCTTCGAGGAGTCAATGAGGTCAATATTGAGCATCAAGTGTTGGCGGCTCTTCCAGATGTGGATAAACATAACTGAGTAGTGCTAATTTATATAAATGATTTTTTGGTTTCTATTGGATTGGCAGAAAATTCAGGAATATTTAGGCAGGTGAATTATGATACCGAAAATAACAAAAATGCCTATTGAGTGTTGATTTCCAAAAAGAAACATAATTTTTGTACTTAACGAGCATGTTTAGTAGCTGAATTACTCATTGAAAACCTGGTTCAGATTATGTGTTCATTACTGTTGGTTGTTTACTGGATCCCTGTCAATTATCAATCTCATGAGTTCTGCTGTCTGGATTAGTCTCATGCTCCTATTTATGACTTTTGTTGTTTTCAACACACACTTCCAAAAACCGACAGAACCACATTCAGACTACCCTGCAGACATTTATCCTTCTTAATTAGTAACTTCCTGGTTTATTATCATCAAATTGCAAGTTTGGCAAGTTTAACATTTTTTGTTTACCAAGAGATCAGTTTCTGCCTTACTCACCATTAGAATTCAAAACCTTCTCTTTGCTAAAAGCGACGCATAAGTTATAATTAACACTTATTCAAAGGCATTTATGACATCAATGAATTCGAAGAAATATCAAAATATTGTTGCTCTTGATGTTGGGGATTCTCCCGCCTCCGTAAAATTTATCTGATCCTTCTGGACACCTCTACATTATCATTGTCTATACAATAGGAAGCTCTGAAAAAAACAGTCTATGTACCGGCTGACGTTGAACATGCAGACTTCCGTTTTCTGCCTGGTTTTATCTACCTTTCTAAATATATTGCTACTTTTCTTATTGACTAAAACCAAGAAACAAATTGGAAGCTATCGATATTTTTTGACTCTATACAGTTGTTTTCTGATGTCGTTTAATTTTCTAGATTTTCTAATGTTCCCAGCGGTTCATATTTACAAAAATGGATTTATATATTTTGCAACTAGTAACCTGAGATATCGTCCATTCGGCATAATTCTAGCGGGGCTGCAATCCTGGAGTCAAGGACTTTATATGACCCTTCTCTCGATTAACTTTGTTTATCGATACAGTATCATTCAGTTAGTTGGATTTTCGATAATTTAAAAATACAATGTCAATTTTTCAGTAATTATGGATGCGGGATGTACTGGTACATTTGGCCTATTGTTGCAGCTGGATTAATGTTTGTATGGGGTTGTGCAGATATATTTCTAGTATTACCTTGCGACTTGTTTGATTGGTATTTCAGGTTGGAAAGTGAACACACGAAAGAACACATGGTATAATTGTATTCTTTACAGTGTTCTAGAGAAGTATGGAATCGATATTTTGGAGTCAGGCTACTATGCCATAACCTATTTTGTTGAAAATGCCCAAACAGGAAAAGAGGAATACTATTGGCCAAGTATATTTCGCCTAGGATTGTTTTTCGTTTTCCAGTCGATTACTAGCTTTCTGATCGAAACCTGCGGGTATTCCCTTTACAAAAAGGTCAAAGACGCAAGCAATTTTTCATCTGGTGTCATGGCTAAAGTGCATAAAGATTTGTTTTGGACTTTGGTTTTGCAGGTGAGCAAGCACAAAAAGCACCTGATTCTATTTTCAAGTTTTCAGACAATCACTCCCTGTCTGATGGTTTATGTTCCTGGATTCATTTTAGTGATTGCACCATTTCTAGACATTGATGTCAACAAAATCAAGATTGAAGAGATTCAACCCTTGTCAATTTCTATTTTTCCGATCATTGACACCTGTATTATTCTCATTTTTTTCCGAGGATTTCGAGTTGCTTTTATGAGTAAGTTTCGAAAAATACTGGATAACATTTTTTGTTCTCAGAACTTTTATGGAAAACCCCAACGACTATCTCGAACAGCGTTCGTCTACAGCATATAACTTGAGGACTACAAGACAGATTTTAAAACTCGAGGGACTAATATTTTTCAGAGAATCGAAATGGATAAAATATCATTTACGTTCTTCTCTTTAATATCTTCTCATATAAATGTTGCTTGCGTTCTCTTCTATCAGAAAATAGTGTTCATTTCTTTAAAGGTTCCACCATTCATTGTGGTGCAAAATAAATACAAAGATAGAATCATCAGTTGATTCGATAACAATTTATTGAATGGGTTAGGGTTCTGAGTTAGGATCTTCTTAACCACCAAGCTACGATGAAACATGGGCATCGGTTATCGGCTTCTATCCGATGGGCGTCAGCCTTGGGAACCTTCGTCAGCGAACCGCAAAACCCGGGAACCAGAACCCGGGCCCCAGAACTCGGGCTGCGAAACCCGGGCTCCAGCACCAGGCTCCAGAACCCGGGCTACAGCACGAGGCTCCAGAACCCGGGGTCCAGCACCCAGATCCCTCCACCAGCTCACTTTCTCTGGAGCCCAGAAAGAGAGAACTGATTCTTCCCTTCACTTCTCTTTTCTTTTATAGTACTTTTCCTGAGGCCACTGGACCATCTGGGGTCACAGGCTCCTAAACCAATACACGTAGTTTTATTGGTTCTATGATATAAAAAGCATACTTGTAATCCGGGCCTTTGCCGGGCCTTCGCGGGCCCTGCCATAATTTCTTTCAGAATCTATATTTTCGAACCAACTAAATCAGATATGATAGAGCTCCACGAGTACTACAAAACGGTGTTATTTGGAATACTGTATCTTATCTATGAACAAAGTTACAGATCATAAAGTGACTTTTCTTGCAGGGCCCGGCAGGCCCGGGGCGGGTCTGCTTTTTTTTGCTCCTTTTGCTCTGTAACTCTGTTCATAGACAAGGTACAGTATTCCAAATAATACCGTTTTGTAGTACTCGTGGAGCTCTACCATACCTGATTGAGTTGGTTCGAAAACATTGATTCTGAAAGAAGTTATGGCAGGGCCCGCGAAGGCCCAGCAAATGTTCGGATTAAAAGTATGATAAAAAGTATTTTTTTTTGCCACGTAGATTCTTTTATTCACAAATGTTTCCATCAAGTTCAAATGATAATTGAAAATTCACTTTTGAAATCTGTGTAACTCCTTAAAAAGACTATCACTTTGACCGAATTATCTCGTTTCCTGGTTGAGGTATCAAAAAAAGTTAACTAATGAAATGTTTTTGATATCCAATAGAACATTTTTGCTTTTGTAATTTTTTTGGTATCTTTCACAAGAACTGAAAAAAGCGGATTAAAATTGAAGGTTAGGAGATACCGTAAACACTCTAATAGAATGTCTCTTACCTTTCAGCTTCGAGCCGATTTATCTCTATTTCTGTAGAAAATATCAAAAAGTGATAAACTGATAAAATGTTTATCATATCATCGAAAATATTTTATCAGTGGTCCACTCTTTGATAACTGTCACAGGAACCGGTAATAGCAAAGAAAAAAAACTGTTCATAATCCAATTTATACAAACAAAATTCGGACGATATATAATATATCGTATATCATAATTCCATTTCACAAAATCAATGATTTTTGGGAGTCCTAAACCGACTCCATATCCTTTGATATTCCAAATATCGTCGTCGTGCCTCTTCACTCCATCGACCATCTTGCGACACCACTTCTGAGTTTTGTATAATTAGAGACCTGTGAACTTAGAATGTTTACCATTGTTCAAGTCATTCAACGCCTTCAAAAGTTTTTGTAGTTCTATACATTGTGACGTTTTCCGAGCTCCCTCATTTTGGCTGACGTGCTGAAATTCTAGGATATGACTATGTTAGGCGTCTATGTTAGAACTAACAGGCCGATCTGTGATTGCTGCTTCTATATCTTGAAATTGTGTATCTACAGTTTCATATTCCTCATTCGCACTACTAATTCTATAGTTTTCATCCGACATCTCGGTTAGAGGTTCATGATTCACAGTAATCATTCGGGAATCCGATGATCTTGAATAAGGAACACGAATTAGCATTTGTTGAGATCCACACGATACTGAAATATGGATTATTTCAAATCTTGCATTCAAATTAACAAATAAACCGTTGTAGTTGGTTGGTTGGTTGCTCACACAGCAAAAACAATTTGGTGACTGCAATCATGCTGTAACTTTTTTGATTTCAAAGGAAAGGGAACTTGTGTTTGTNNGTGCTAGTGCTCCGATTCCAACTTATCAAGTTTCAATTCAATTTTTGGTTTTGAAAAACAACGTTTTTCGGGGGTCAGAACATGCTTAAAAATATATTTCATAATAGTATCTTTCATACACATGAAATTAATTTTGGGTGATGTGAAGTGAGGGATAATGGGATAATTTTCAAATTAAAAAGAAGCAATCAATAAATGCAATGCACTTACAATCACACTCGAGATGAAGGGGGAAAAATGCGATTTGATAATTATAAGGGAACCCGCGTTTTTGACAATATCGACAAGATCAAAATAAAAAAGTTCAAACCATCCAAACAGGGTTAAAATTCAGAATAATAATTACGGTTGGATTGTAATGTGACTAGGTCATCATCGTCCACATAGTGCATCGAGCCACTTTCGATAGCTCGCCAATAGTTGGAGTTCATCCACGCACGGTCGTTCTGGAAATAATGTTTTTTGTTTCTTAAGTTTTTACTAGTATAAAATTTGAAAAAAGCGTTGTACTGGGCTCAAATGTGGAATGCGAAAATTCCAATAATTCATCAGTAAACTGGTCAAGTTTCAAATTATTTGATCAACTTTGAGCTGCGTTATCGCTTGCCAAAGTTGCTTCATCTCATGAAAATCACAACTGCGTGCAAGAAACATTTCATCTTTGGACAATCACAACTATATGTGGCCTTTAAGAATCGCTTTGAAATTTTGAGTAGTTTTGAATCGACTGCAGAAATATATTTCTACCAATTTTCGTGCTACCAGAATACTTATGTCTAAAGATATACCCGTTTTTATTAGTCCGACTCATTGTGCGCCACTTTATGCAAACTCAAGACTCACTCTCAATGTTGTCAACTCTCCAGCTTCCACTTTTATTGCATCATCCACGAACTTTGCCAAATCCAAGTTCTCTAAATCTTCAACCGGAACATTCAGCTGATCGCCGAGATTTTTAACGAGCGCTTTCATGGACAGCCTGTAAACTCTCTCTGTTTTTAAGTTCAATAATTTGAAAAACGTACTTTTGACCCCCAAACCAAATTTGCACATTATGAACGTTGTCCAATTTTCTGCCAAAGTAATGCAACTTCTTCAAAGTGTCTGCTGCAATTTCAATTGCGATTGTGGTCAGTGCCAATCCAATTGCGCAGTATACAAGTGTTACGAACTAAAAATTAATTCATTGAAGAGTAAAAAACTAAATTTTCAAAATAATCTCACCAGCCAATCTGTAGACTGTGGTACCAAGTCTCCGAGACCAATTGTTGTCAAAGTTACAAAATTAAAATAAATCGCCAGTCCAAACGTCATTCCTTCTTCATAATAGCTCATCAGGAATGATCCAGCGATGATGTAGATAAGAAATGCCAGGAAGAGAACGATAGTTTCGGTGACTGAAAAAAACTTTTTTTTTGAGAAGAACGATGAAAATTTAAGAAAAATGAGAATAGCAAAGTGGAAACTTTTATGGCCAATGTGAATGTGAGCAAAAAAAAAGTAAAACTTTTGAGCAAAGTGGAGCAAAACTTGAACACTTTGTGAAAAGTCAGTGCTCTGAACCCACCGGTAATTACACTATCATCTTCATCATCTTCATGTTCTTCTTCTGTTCCTTGACTTTCTGTTTCTCGAGTCTCAGTTTGACCTACATGGACTAATAGTTGTAGGGTTTTTTAACCGTATATTTCATTTATTTAATTTTATTTACAAAAAACTCACCATCACTTTCCTCAATCTCTTCTTCTTGTTCTTCATCGTCATGTGAAGAAATATCATCCTCAATTTTCTTTGCTTTCTTCTTCGAACTCTCCATCAACCGTTGTGTTTCTTTAACTTCATTCCCATTCTGATCCTTCTTGTTCATCTTCTTCCTCATTTTTCGACATAGGAGAAGAAACGGTCGGGTCCATGACTTCAAAAGTGTCGCCAAGAACTTTCCGACATTGGCGATTGCCATCATAGCGGTTGGGATTCCAATGGTTCCATAGATTATAACAAACACTCGACCCCAAAATGATTGAGGAGCCACGTTACCGTAACCTGAAATTTTGAAATTTTCCGAAATCCCTTTTTTACTCCATCAAAAAACGCACCAATCGTTGTGATGACCGTGAAACAAAAAAGAATTGCATCCGTTTTCGTCCATTGCTCAAAACCATCAACGACCTCAAACTTCTTCAAAGCGACCGCCGACTTTGGCTCTTGTTCTGGCTCTGTTGACCCTATAACATATCATAATGTCTTGTTTCAAACTTCAATTCCTCCCACGATTCCCATATACAAAACGTTTTCATTAGTCCCCAGGGAACTGATCTTTTTCTATAGATGGACATATGGAGGCAGAAAGCCAAAAAGGCAAAAAAAAAGTGTTGAAATCAAAGCTCGATTTGATCGAACAACTCCCGCAGAAAAATGAGCGAGAAAGTTGCCAAAACTGAGCCCCAGGGAAAAGAAGGAATAGATAACCACTATTTTTTTTTGACTTGAGTTTGTAAAAAAACAGGGGGTAGATCAAAACAAAACTACTGACCTTCTGGGATGTGACTATCATAGATAGCTTTGATTTTTTGAAGATCCGAAGAATAGCACTCGTCGAGTAGATTCACATTTGTCTGAAAATCAGATCGAAGTGATGATAGATTAAATTTCAGACATACATGGAGATGTGAACAATTTCCTTTTGCCATATGCGCCATTTTTCGGAGAGCATGAAGCACGCATTCCTTCGAACGATCTACTGAAAATTGGAAAAAAAATAAGTTTGAAGAATCCGTCTCCTTTTTTACAAAAATCCTTCCGAACACAATTTCAATAGTTCATGTTTCCCTCGATTCATGACTATATAATCTTGTTCATTTGTCATATGTCGTCACTATTCCTAACTTTTTCCGTTTCAAATGTTTCTTTCTTTTTGTTTCTCTGTGTGTCCCGTAGTTTGATGTCTCACTTCCCTCCGGAATCTCAGTGCACACGAAAAAGAGCAAGAGAGCAACATTAGATTGAGAAGATTGATAGGATCTCTAGACGATGAAAAAGAAAAAGACTCACAAGGAATGATAGGCATGTCATCTTTGATATTCCGTCGGAGTCGGAACGATTCTTCTACCTGAAAAATATTTGAAGAATAAAAAAACTGAAATCCCATGTGAATCGAAATAAAGATGAATGACAGAAGTGTGAGACAGACTTCAGACAACACCTTGGAACCTCAAGGGAAAACAGAAAATCACCTTGGCAGGGATCCGTTCGATGTACTGGATGAGAAGTGCTCCGGCATAGACATAGATTCCGACAAATAGAACGATACCCGCGTTTAGGAGATAGGGTTTGAACTGGAAAATCAGCAATATTAAACGAGAACTTGAACAATTCGAAAATTCAGAACTTGAAAATTTAGTAAAATACAGTCAAATACTAGATGAAACGCAGATCTTCCTAGCTTTGCAGATTTTTAAATGTTTTTAAAACTTGGGCTTAACAAAGAAAGTTATTTTCTTTCATTTTCACGTTTCCCTGTATTTGACTTTGACTCGAAACAAAAGATCTACCGTAAAACCTGTAATATAAGGGTCTCTTTACTTTTAACTTTGAGTCAGTTTTCCTCCGTTGCTGTCGAAGCTATGAAAATGTTTTCAACTGATAACCTGTTTATCATAATCTCAGAAGTGTTTTGTCAATAGTCATATTTTTGATATCTTGCAAAGGAATTGAGATATTTGAGCTCAAACTTGACAGTGTCGCGCCCTTCTATTACAGGTAGTACGGTATGCTAGGACATGCAAATTGTCCGACCGGCTATTGATTCAAACTTAATTGTACCCTCTCGTCATTTTTAAAGCCTTGACTTCTTGAAACCTATTGTTTTGTATCGAAACCCAACCACGTGACTGACTTCGTTGTTTTTTGCCTCCAATGGCTTAGCATTTGAAAAAAAAGGAAGTGGAATTGATGATAGACAACTTGAAGACCCCCTTCTCCACCCTCCTTAACTAAACTAGGTTAGTCTCAATTGTTGTTTTGTAAGCACAGAAGCAACACACATGTTGGTCTCAAAACCGAAACTTTTGTGTGAGTAGTAAATAAGTGTGACAGAGTAGTGACACTTTGACACAAAACTATTCCCGGATTGTTTCTGTTTGAATCGTTTTTGTGTCCATCCGTCCATATATGTCCCCCAAGGAGCTGTTTGGCGACCCTTGTCAGAGACAAAGAGTATCTGAATGTTCGTGCGTCCATTCTATTTTCCCCCACCAAGAACCACAAATACACACACTCAATTGTTTCATATAGGAAGAACACCCAGAGTATTCAGAGTGAGTTGAGGAATTCAGAACGCGTGCCTCCCCAAGGAGCCACGTCTTCTCCGGCTCCCTTATTCTTTGGATTTTGGTAAGCCAAAACATAACGAAGAGAAAACGAGTGGCCCATCTCCTATCTGAGCATCTAATCAAGCTCAATTTGACATGATAATTTCCTTCTTCTTCTTTTGCTCTGACAAACATCGAACGCCTTTTTCGGGAAAGTTTTTGCGTTCGGGTAAACCACCACATAGGGTGTCATTGGCTCTCGTAGAGTCGCAAATCGGGAGATCTCTAGTTGGATTTCGAAAATGGATTAGGTGGTGAGAGAAAGATAGGGAAAGGAAGAGACAAAAGTCACAGACTTTTCGCCAAAATCGAGTTTTAGGATATAGACGCTCTTTCGGGCGTGTGCTCTTTTCGCAGTTGACCATGAAATTCGGTGTGTCTTAAGATGTGCAAAACTTTTCAGGAAAAAAAAAGAGTTCAAAAGGTTCTTTTTTGTTCCTAAAATCAATTCTATAGGAAAAAAGGAGCTGGGGGAAAAAATGTGAATGTGAATTTTTCATTTCGAAAAATACTATAGGAGGACAATCCTTGTTGTTGAAGGATTTCATTTTTGGGTGGGAGGATATTTAATAATTCATGAGCTTTGAAAAAATAGATTGTTTTCAATTTCAACGATAATATTGGTTTCATAGGGGTTATCAAGATTTTTTAAAATTTTCTTGGATCACCAAAAAGTTATTATGAGTAAAAATGGGACGGAATTTTTGATCATTGGATTTTTACTTCACTTTTTTAATTTTTTTTTGTTGCTTTGGCTAGTTATAAGACCTATATATTTTCAAACGATATAAATCGAAAAGATAATACAGACCTATAAAAAACCCAAGAAATTATCTTTCCCCAAATTTCTCACCTTGGCAAGATCAATTTTCTTTTTCGACGTCTTCGCCGATCTCGAATGGAACACCATTTGTAATGTATAGGATCAGGTTGAAAAATGAATATTAAAATATTAAAATTCTCGAAAACTGGTGTTTCAAAAGACACGAATGTGATGGGACAAAAAGCTGTGAAGCGGGCCCTCTCTTCCCGCTTAGCCCGAAGGGGCGGAGTTCAAGAAGAAGACGTCCCTGTGTGTGTTAGAAGAGGTCCACTATGTGTCCATGTCATCGTTTTCACTTTTTTCTATGGGTCTGTTGGTTTTAACTATTCACAAAAAATGGGTAAAAAGTAAATGGGAACGGAAAAGTAATCCTGTGTGACAGTGAGAAGATAATACATTGTTTTTGAAAGTTGAGAAGTAGTAAAGGAAGATGGAGAAGTGTGTGTTTGGAGCAAAATAAGAAAACAGACCTCCAGCGTTCATAAATTGTTTATGGCATTGGTGAGGTATAAGTGTGGGAATTTGGACTTTTGTGTCTTTAGTTTTTTAACCAGAATTTTGGAATACTGTAGTTTGGACAAGTGGTCGTAAATATGTAAATCGGGAATCCTCAGAATCAGAAAAACGCTCAGAATGCTCAGATGTTAAAAAATAGCTAAAAGAATGTATTTTGGGAATTTTTTAAAAACCCTGGACTTCTAATCTTTCAAAAGCGTGATGTTACCGTAAGACCTGTAATAGAAGGGCCCTCACACTGTCAAGTTTGAGTTAAATTATCTGTAACTATCTGTTACAGGAACCGAGAAAAATTGGCTCAAAGTTAAAAGTTAGGGACCTTTCGATTACAGGTTTAGCGGTATGTCTCATTAGTTAAAAGATACATTTCAAACTTAAATTTGAACAAATTTGTTTTAAAAAAAACTAAGAAAATCGAAGTTTGGTTCTTTAAAAAATTTTAGACAATCTTGAAGGTAAAAAATAACGCTTTTTTCCGGTACTAAGTTACGGTAGCTTTGTCAATAGAAATATCTTTTCGAAATTCTAGGTTCCCTGTTTTTGCACTCATATTGTTTACCATGCCTGAAACCCATCAGATGACCCTATTTGAACCACGTGGTATTTGCTTTCTAAACTCCATTTCCCAAAATTACAACCTAATTATCAATCAGCTCTCCACCATTCCGTAAAAAAGTACACAAAAACCACCCAGTAGACTCTTCTCTACTTTTTTCTTTCTTTTCGATAAAGTATTGAATTGCATAAAGGGTGAGCAAGCAAAGCACTCTTCATCTTTTCCGGGAGTGGGAGCTCTGATGCTTTTAGCACGTTATTATGAGAGCATGAATCGGTTTGTTACGTCTGGCAGAGGGACCTTCCCTGGGCCCGGTGCACCCACCATATATGGTATCCGATTTCACATCATACGTACTCAGTGGTCGTCACTCATTTAAAATGTGTTGATCTGTGTTGTTGTTGCTGTTAGTTTTGAGGAAAAGAAGTACTTCGCTTTCCAAAACCAATGAATTGAAAAACAGTGATGCTCTTCCCCTTTTTGGTATCTCGTGGGACCAAACATCATAGAAACGTATGGATATTCCGAGAAGACATTCTCTCTTTCACCACATGTTCTTTTCTAGAGAAGAATGTGTGGAGCAGATGAAAAATTACTTTTCTTTCGGAAGAAAAGAAATAAAGGTCAAGAAAAGAAATTTTCGGAAGGAGTTTTTTTTCTATCAGAGGTAGAGAGAAGGCAGATGATAAATAGATCGGAAGGGGTTTGCAGGAATCTCATAATTCTTATTTTTAAAGCTCTGTGGGGCTTGAAAATTTGGGAAATGTCGAAAGGATTTACATATGACAAAAAGGTGAGAATCAAAAAAGGAATTGTAGGGAAAATTCTGTATGTGATATTTAATAAATCCATACATCTAATTCAACACAGTCTTGATTTTGATTAACACTGTACTTCACATTCTCATTTATTTCTACCGTAAATGCTCTAATGGGAGCCCACACTATACGGACATTTAGAGCTCAATTATCTCGATTCCTGAAAAAAATATATCAAATAAATTCTCTAACTCAAAAATTATTTGTCAAAATATCAGCAATATTTTTATAATTGCCAGACTTTTTTAAATCTCTTATAGGAACCGGAATAATTGATTTCAGTGTAAGTAAATCGTGGGATTTAATTAGGTCATTTACGGTATGTATGTTTCGATCCTTCTTTGTTTGATCCTTGCTCCCAATTTTTTTTCACCAGGAGAAGAGGGTCAAAGTCTTAAAAGCCACCTCCATTACTCATTGTCATCATTATATCATTTTTCTTCTTGTCTTCTTTTTTCCAGAGCTGCAACACAACTTCTCTCCCATTTCTACTTATTCTCCTCCCATCGGCATTAGCAGATAATCCTTTTCGATGAGTTACGACCATGTTTTCCGGGGATCCTACCGCCCACAAAAGTGCCAGTGTCAAAATAAGGGAACTCACTTTTTCAAAACGATCCTTGAACGTTCCCATTTCGCATACCTCCTCTAGCTCGTTGATGGTCACGAACCTGGAAAACATGAGAGTAGAAAAACATGAAAAAATTAAGAATATGTGGTAGCTGGAGAGGGGAGAGGAGTTGTTATAATTAGTTAGGTTCCTTCCGGGAAGTTTCTTTTTTTTGAGAGCCAAAGTTTTGGGTCAATGAGCCATGTCTGGGTTGCACTTGGAAGTCAAGGACTGTGAGGATGAGACTCAAGAGGAGGGAATGAAGACATGGAAAAGTTATGAAAGGACATGAATGATAAAATAGGAGACTGAAGAGAGATGGACAAATGATCTTTTTCTGACTAGAAAGTAGTAAAGAGCTAAAATCGGTTTTCGAGAAAAAAAGAAACCCACAAATTTTAAGAGCCCATCCTTTCATCTTTGACGCTTTGGATAATGGACCACCCCCGGGGATAATGGACCAGACAAATCAGTTTTACTTCCAATTTTTTTTCCAATTCTACAAATTGAGATTTCGGAGCATATAATCAACTTACTTTTTTGTTTGCTTTGTTGTTTTTACTAAATTCACCATTTCACAGTCGTCAATAATATCAGATGAGCTCCTCCCAGAAGGTGAGGAGGAGGAAGTTCGAAACATTGTGTTATCTTCTTCTATCCTATGATAACAAAGGACCTCATTGCGTGTGATGGACAAAAACGCCCATTAATCATTGTGGTATCTCTGGGGTGGACACCCTCTGATGTCCTACACTAGAAACAATGAAAGGATCATTTGATTACACAACATTTCCATTTTGTTTCTGTTGAGGATTCTGTGGCAGGCACTTGCTCACCTATCTTTTTTCATCATTTGACCTTTCGATAAGATTTATGGGATCTTTTTAGAGCCGATGAAACATTTTTAGGGGAAATAAAGAAGTTCTACTGATGAAAATCAAGGAGATTCGAAAGTCGTAAAAAACATCGAGAGTTGAAAAAAAAAACATAAAATTGAGCAGAGGAATAAAAATGAAGGTGAGAATAAAAGTCTCAAAGATGAGTGATTTTTGACATCAAGATTTTTAATGTTGGTTGTGAGGGACGAGGAAATTATTTTAGAATGAATTGACTTTTTGAGACTGAAACAACGAAATTTTAAAAAAATTTGAAACTTCAGATTTTTTGAAAGTTACCTTGGATGTATTGGATTGCCGTTAGACCTGTATTAAAAGGACCGTTCCAAGGTACCTCCGGAGGGCCCTTCTGACACTTCAACTAGAGAAGCAAAGCAAGAAATTATTTATCAAAATCAAAATTTACAAACTTACCAGTTTCACAAAAATTAAGTGAGATTTCGAACAAAATAAGTGTAACAATTTTTTGTGAAATTTTGGAACTTCTGGAATATTTTTCACTGAAAACGTACGGAAATTTTTATTTCAAAAACTCAATTTTTGAGGGGCCCTTCTATTTTTCAGGACTCCTTTCGGAGAGCCATCATATCAGCGGGGCCTTCCTTATATAAATTTTACGGTAGTTTTGGAATTTTTTAGTCTATAATTTTGAGCCAGAAAAGTGAACGTTTTCAATTTTTCGAGTTTTTATTTTTTTAAACTTCGAATTTTGAAAAATATCGAACTGAATTGTTTTGTGAAGAAACTAACTAGGCTTGTAAGCCTGGATCCAGTTTTTCCGCAGAAAGCTCTAATCCCAAGAATGTCAACAATACCACGACCACCTGACTTTCATATGCACACAGAACCGTTTATTGCAACCATAATGGGATCGTTTTTGACACCGACAATGCAGCATAACATCTTTCTTGTAGACCCACCCAAAAACACTTACATTTCTCGACTATTGTTATCCCAGAGAGATTTCAGAAATTTCAAATATCTGTTTTTTTTTGCCGACGAAATGAGAGATGAGATGATTGAGATGGCGAGTCACGGAAGCAATAAATAATGTGTGTGTCGAGGAACAATGTAGTAAAAAAGGTCGTTACCGTCCGAAAATCGAACGACTTTATCTTCTTCAGAAGACCATGGCCCCCACAGCTGACAAAGAGAGACGGGGAAATCTATTGAAATGGGGCAATTAATGGATTACGAGAGAAAATAGCTCCCTGAATAGCGCACCTCGAGCCCCAGAGCAAGTTGGGGCATTAAACTTAAAATGATCAGGCCAAGACATAAGGGAAAAAAAAGAAAAAAAAACTACTCGAGAATTCAAAATTTTACGACCCACCTCACTCTTTCATCGTAGTTTTGTTCGTCTTCGTCCAACTCCTCAATCATCATTTTTGCTCTTATTTATATCAGGAAAAGGAATACAGATAGACAGGAAAAGTAGGAATTTCGACTCCAAATGAGCAGCGTAGGAAGGAGTCAAAAATGAAGAGGAAATTGAATATGTCCGTCACATATATTCATTTCTACTAGTACAAGTTCTCGGGGGATGCAATGACCGAATACACGCGATTGGAGGAGGTGGAGAGCAATGAGAACTAATGAGCAAATTTACTGGGAGGTCTTTAAGAAAAAAATAGAAGAGAAGGTGGAGAATCGGATAAAAAATGATTGATGAATCAATAAATTAATAGTAGTATTACACAAAGAATTCCCGGAATGCCCTCTGAAGTTCCCAGAAGCCTAGGAACTTTATTTATCAGTCGGTTTACGGCCTCCGGGGCTGACCCCCCTGGCCTCCGCTTTTAACACCCGTAATCTTATAAGGAGGTTTTGTCACTTTTGATAAGTGATTTTTTTCAGGATCTAAATTTGGAAGCTCTGAAATTTAGAAATTTCGGAATTCAAAATTTCAAAAATCAAGATATCGTGACTTTTGAGAATTTGGGAAGTCAGAAATAAGGAAATTCAGAACATCGAAAAAAAATTTGAAATTGGTGAGTTCAAAAATTCGGAAGCTTGAAAACGTTGATTTTAAAATCCAGAAAAGGGAAAAATTAAAATTTCAAATCAAAATTTCCAAAGTTTTCTGAATTTTTGAATCCCTGAGCTTTTCAGAAACGCTTTTATGACCCCAAATACTTAAAAATTCAAAAATGTGTTCAAATTTGTAAGTTCGAAAAATGGAATTTTAAAACTCCATAAATTCGAACTACCGAAATTCAAAATCCAAAATCGGAAAAATCCATACCGATTAGATATATCTGAAATTTTGCTATAAATCAATTATCCACTACCACCTGGTACACAAATTTGTCTACCCAAAAATATCTATCTCAAAACCACAAAAATGAGAGAAAACCATTTTATAGAATTGAGGACTTTCACCACTTGTTTTTTTTTTGCGTTCAATCTTTAAAGGGGGACTCCGACCAAAAATTTTTATTGCATTAAAATGTGTTAAAAGTTATCTATTTTCCGAATATTACATACATGTAACGGGCCGGGCCTGTCATTCCACAAGTTTTGAAAATTTCAAAAAACACATAAGGGGGGAGGCCCTTATGTGATTTTTTTCGATCAAAAATTTTTTTTCGAGTTTTGTTGATATTTTTTATCAAACAGACAAGCAATCCAAAAACACAAAAAATAATGGAGAAAATTGTATGGAGAGCTCAAAATGTGACTCAAAATGACAAAATTTTTGCTACCGGGCCTTCCGGGCCGGGCCCGGGCCTTGAAAATTTCATCAGGCCCGGCCCGGAATTTAACAAGTATGGAATATTATTGCAAAAAAATTCAGAAAGAAAATCCGAAATTCCCGAAAAACGGCGTTAAAAGGAAGAAAATTCAAAAAAAGGTGCCGCCGGGGAACGAGGATTTTC